AGGTGGAGGCTTCCCTCAGGGGCCCAGGCTGCACTCTGGGCTGTGCCCAAGCAAAAAGCCCGGGACAGGCACGCTAAGTGTGGTGGTCCACAAGGTCCTTCCACTCTCTGGACTTCAGTGTCTTGTGAGGTGCCCGCTGCCTCTCCTGAGACGCAGGTTGCTGAGCCCCTCTCCAAGCAAGCCCACCCCCACCCCCACCCCCCACTCCGTGTAGACCTGGTCCTGGAGTGGCTCAGAGAGGCCCCAGATTCTGGCTAGGCTGGGGAGGGGGAGGGGTGTTGCTGGGGCAACCAGATGTTATCAAGTGTGAGAGCCTTGGTTCCTCTGGGGAATCTGCAGCTGTGGCCTTGCCTGCCAGCTGTGGGGCCTGGGACCTCCATGAGCTAATGTTTCTCTGCCCCCTCCTCCCACCCTTCCCCTACCCCTCCTGCCCCCTCTTAGCGGGAGCTTAGCTCTTAGCGTCCCTGGTTAGCGGGAAGCTGAGGGTGACTGCTCGACTTGCTGATGCTTGCTTTTGGAGCAGAAGGGCCTGGGAAGTCACCCAGCTGTCTGGCCTTACAACTCTGTGGTCAGCTGTAGGAGAGGACCCTCCGGCCCCTCCCTCGAAGGCTGCTGTAAGATCTATGAGTGCTGTGGGTTAAGCCGCCACCTGCAGTGCCAGCATCCTATATGGCTGCTCCACTTCCAATCCAGTTCCCTGCTAGTGCACCTGGGAAAGCAGCGAAGATGGCCCAAGTCCTTCGGCACCTGCATCCATATGGAAGACCTGGAAGAAGCTCTGGGCCCCTGGCTTCCGCCTGGCCCAGCTCTGGCTGTTTAGGCTATTTGGGGAGTGAACCAGGCGGTGGAAGATCTCTCTCTCTGTGTCTCACCCTCTCTCTGTAACTCTTTCAAGTAAATAAATAAATCTTTAAAGGAAAAAAGATCCATGAGAGCAGAGTCTGGGCTCTGCCTTCCCCCAGCACCTGTGCCAGGCAGGAGTTAATCTCCCTGCCTGTGTCTGCTGCTCCTGTCTGTGTGGGGGGGGCTGATAAGAGGAGTAGGAGGGGAATGGTGCATGATTACAAGAAACCGCGGATTTGTAGGGCGGAGGGGGTTCCTTGACGGGTGTTCCTCGGAAATCTGAAGTTTGTTGCTGGGACAGCAAACTGAACGTGGCGTCTGGATTCTGGTTGTTCTGAGTCAGAAGGCTGCTCTGTCTCACAGTTGAGACCAGAGAGGCAGCTGGGTAGAATGCTTGCTTTCTCTGGCCTCCATTTCCTCATCTGTAAAATGGGGTTCCAAGTGCCTACTCGTTAAAGACTGTTGTCCAGATTTTGATGATTTGTTGAGGTATACTGTCCAAGCCCACAGTTTCCAGGATGAGGAATCAGCCATGTGCTTGAGAGGCCTCAGAAAGGTCAGGGTTGGGTGGGCAGCAAATGCGGACGGAGCTGCAGGGGGTCTTGTAGGTTGGGAGCCACTGTGCATTCTTTTTTTATTTTTTCATCTGAGAGGAGGAGGCAGATGGGCAGAGATAGATAGAGAGTTCCCACCCACTGGTTCACTCCCCAACAGCCCAGAACCACCTGGGAGGTGGGGACTCAACCCAGGTCTGCCACCTTGGTGGTGGGCACCCAGTTACTACGCCATCACTGCTGCTTCCCATTAGCAGGAAGCTGGGGTCAGAAGCTTTGATCTCAGGCATTCTGATGTGAGACGCCAGTGTCTTGTTTTTTTTTTTTTTTTTTTTTTTTTTTTTTTAAGATTTATATTATTTAGTTGAGAGGTAGAGTTACAGACAGAAGGAGAGACAGAAAAAAAGTCTTCCATCCACTGGTTCACTCCCCAAATGTCTGCAACGGTCGGAGCTGGGCTGATCCAAAGCCAGGAGCTTCTTCCGGGTATCCTATGCGGGTGCTGGTACCCAAGCACTTGAGCCATCTTCTACTGCTTTCCCAGGCAGAGAGCTGGATGGGAAGTGGAGTAGCCGGGTCTCTAACTGGCGCCCATATGGGGTGCTGGTGCTGTGGGTGGAGGCTTAGCCCACTACACCACGCTGCTGGCCTAGATTCTGGTGTCTTAACCAGCATCTTTTAATTGCTAGGCTAAATGCCTGCCCCACTGTGAACTCTTTTTTTTTAAGACTTAGTCACCCATTTGAAAGGCAGAGTTACTGAGTGGGAACTCTTCCATTTCTAGTTACCTCCCCAAATAGCCACAGTGGCCAGGGTTGGACTAGGCTGGAGCCAGGAGCTCCATCTGGATCTCTTACATGGGCAAGCGGGGGTCCAAGCACTTGGGTCATCTTCCGCTGCCTTCCCAGGCACATTAGCAGGGAGCTGGATTGGAAGTGGAGCAGCTGGGACTTCAACCAGTGGCGCTCATGTGGAATGCTGGCATTACAGGTGTAGCTTAACCTGCTGCACCATAATGCCAGCTCCCAAATTTTGGGTCCTTAGGGGTTCAGAGAGAAAGGTGTAGTGAGGGAGGGGTGTCCATAGGCAAGTTTGGGGTTCAGAGGTTACAGTTCATAGACCCTCTCTTTTATTAGAGTCTCAGCTACTCTTTTTAGGATTGTTAACTGTGATTTTTTTATTTTTAACTTTATTTTTTTTCAAAAAGATTTATTTATTTATTTGAAAGGCAGAGTTACAGAGAGAGGTAGAGAGGTAGAGGTAGAGGTAGAGAGAGAGAGAGAGAGAGAGAGAGAGGTCTTCCATCCGCTAGTTCACTCTCCAAATGGCTGCAATGGCTGGAGCTGAGCTGATCCAAAGCCAGGATCCAGAAGATTCTTCTGGGCCTCTCACATGGGTACAGGGGCCCAACCACTTGGGCCATCCTCTGCTGCTTTCCCACGTACATTAGCAGGGAGCTGGATCGGAAGTGGAGCAGCCAGGACTCAAACTGGTACCCATATAGGATGCTGGCGCCCCGGGGCGGGGTGTGTGTGTGTGTCTTTCTTTTTTTTTTAAATGGAGCCAATTCCCAGCTGAAACCATCAGTGATGACCTCATGGGCTCCCTGATTATAAAGCAGACTGCCAAGGCTCACTCAGTCTCCTGTCTCTCTCTCTTTTTAAAAAAGATTTATTTATTTATTTAAAAGTCAGAGTTACACAGAGAGAGGAGAGGCAGAGAGAGAGAGAGAGAGAGAGAGAGAGAGAAAGAGAGGTCCTCCATCCAGTGGTTCACTCCCCAGTTGGCTGCAACGGCCAGAGCTGTGCCGATCTGAAGCCAGGAGCCAGGAGCTTCTTCCAGGTCTCCCATGCAGGTGCAGGGGCTCAAGGATTTGGGTCATCTTCCACTGCTTTCCCAGGCCATAGCAGAGAGCTGGATTAGAAGTGGAGCAGCTGGGTCTCAAATTGGCGCCCATATGGGATGCCAGTGCTTCAGGCCAGGGCGTTAACCCACTGTACCACAGCACTGGCACCCCTCTCTATTTTTAATTCAAGAGACAACAGGGACAAAGAAATTGAATGAACTCCCATCTGCTGGTTCACTCCCCAAATTGCTACAGCTGCTGGGGCTGGGCTGGGCTGAGCAAAGCTGGAAACCCAGTCTAGGCCTCTTGCATGGGTGGCAGACCAACTGACCCACACTGGGTCCACACTGGCAGGAAGCTGGCACTGGCAGTTGGGAGCCAGGGGTTGAATCCAGGCACTGCAGTATGGCACACCCGTGTCTTAACTAGCCTCTTAGTCACTAGACTAAACATCCAACCTGCCCCGTCCATTTTTTTTTTTAAGATGTATTTTATTTATTTGAAAGGCAGTTACAGAGAGAAAGGGAAAGGGAGAAAGAGATCTTCCATCTGCTGGTTCACTCCTCAAATTGCCACAGTGGCTGGGGCTGGACCAGGCCATAGCCAGGAGCCTGGCTCTCCATCCGAGTCTCCCACATGGGTGGCAGGGGCCCAGATACTTGCCCCATCTTCTGCTGCCTTCTGCATTATCAGGAAGCTGGGATTGGAAGCAGAGCAGCTGGGACTTGAACTGGTGCTCTGATATGGGATGCTGATGTCGCAGGTGGTGGCTTAGCCAGCTGTGCCACAATATTGACCTTACCCCCCTTTTAAAATTAGACTTTTTTTTTTTTTTAATTGACAGGCTGAGAGACAGTGACAGTAGAGTGACAGAGAACTGATTCACTCCCTGAATGTCTGCAGTGGCCATCTGGGGCTGGGATGGAGTTGGAAGTTAGGAACTCAAGCCACGTCTCCCGTGTAGAACCCAATTACTGAGCTGTTACTGCTCCCTCCTGGGGTCTGGTTGGAAGTTGGAGTGAGGAGTCCCAGCTGGTTGTTGAACCCAGGTGCTCCAGTGTGGGCAGGCTGAACCCCTGCTCTCTCTCTCTCTGACTTTCTGGCTCATTCTGCTCCTTGCCCGGGGAGTCACAGAGAGGGGTCAGAGGAAAGAAGCCTGGCGGAAGGTGTTGGAGGTCAGTGTGCTGTGTGACTTCCCCGGCCTCTGATGTCACATTGTCAAAGTGGGAAGAAAGCCCTGTGGAAAGTGTGGGGCTGGACACACGCTAGAGAGGTTGTTGGCAGCAGCCACTGTGATTCTGCCCTGGGCCTGTCCCTGACTTCCCGGGTAGGTCCTGGGTCCTGGGCCAGCCCCCTGCCCCTCCAGGGGCCTCTCCACCCCCACAGGGCTGTCCTGGGCTTCTGCCTGACTGCCTCATTGGCTGAGCTCTGTCCCCAGGGCATTACCCTCACCAGCCAGGAGGGCTTAGGGGCGGGCACCTTGCCAAGTCTAGTCTGGCGGCCCGTCCGCCTCCCATCTGGCAGCCGGGACCCCTGCCCCAGCTCTGGCTCCGGAATATTATTTAGACCAGGACACAGTGGCAGGGTTAGGGGACCCCGCTGCAGCTGAGTGACCAGAGCGGGGAACGCACAGACTCCATGCCTCAGTTTCCCTCGTGCGCCCTGCATCCTTCTTGAGGGGCGGGGTCGGCCGGTGGGCGGGATCAGTGGCGAAGGTGGGAGGAGGACCTGGAGCGGCCCCTCCCCCTCCGGCTGGAGGCATTGCTGCTGCGGGGCGGGGACGCGAGCGCTCGGGCGTTTTCCTCCGTGCTGGGTCATGGTGAAGGCGCCGCGCGGCGCTCGGGAGAGGCCGGGAGAGGGGACGGTCAGGAGCGGCGCCCGCAGTCATGGTGGTGTTCCTGGGCCGCCACCTCCCCACGCTTCCTGGGCTCTTTAAGAAGAAGGGTGAGTGGGTGTGGCAGCGGGGTGAGAGCCGGGATCCTCTATAAGTCCCTTTGCCGGACCCTGTTGTAGAAAAAGGGGTCAAGGCCGGGAAGGAGTAATGGAGGTGGGGGCTGGGGGCTGGTAGCGAGGCCAGAATCTCCCGTGCTGCTTTGTCCGGCCGCTTTGCTGCTGCCTTTGTCTGGGCCCTGCTTGTGCTTGGGAGGATGGAGCCAGGTGTCTCTGACCTTGAAGCCGGCTTGAGCTTTGAAGCGCTTCGCTGAGCACAGCCCGGGGCCCCGGTTCAGAGAGCTGGCAGCCCCCTCCCCAGTGAGAGGGGCTGTGGGATGGGAGCAGAGGTGGGGAAAGTAGTTCCACAGGAAGTTGGGGGACTTAGAGGCCTGGGTAGGGGGAACCTGTGCCCACTCCTCCTCCAAAGACCTGGGCTTCCATGCCAGGATTAAGACGGGGCGGCCAGGGATTCCAGGTGTGTGTGACCCTGGAGCGCCCCGTGGCAGCCCAGAGTGTCCTCCTGGCTCTGACTCCCGTTTGCTGGGTGACCTTAGGCAGGGCCTTTCCCCCTTGAGCCTGTTTTCCCCAACTTGTCAAATCAGGAGGAGTGGATGAACAGTTCCCATCAGGTCCCCTGGGGGACCCCAGCTCTGCCCTGGTGGGACTCCCGTGGATGCCCGGGTGGAGAGGCAGGTGTCGGGGGCGCGGCCCTGTGATGGGTTTGTTTTGTTCCTGCTCCTGCACAAAGTGCCATCCAGGTCACATGACCCTCCTAGCGCTTTTGCTTATGTTGTGGGTTTCATTTAGAGGGGGGCCAAGGCTGCAAAGTGCTGACGCAGCCCCCCCACACCCAGGATTAGATGACCAACCCCTCCGTGGGCGGGGCTTGTAACTGGAGCCTTTGTAATGGATCCTGGCTCCTCTGCACCAAGGGCCAGGGCCTCCAGGAGGGAGGGGAGTGGGGGGGCAGCTGGGACTGTTCCCTGAGCAGAGCCCGGAGCTTCCTTGGCTGCGGGTGGAGGGTCCCAGTCCTCCTTCTCTCTGCCCTTACTTCTAAGGGCCAGCCACATGGGTGAGTAGGGGACCCACAAGGTTATATATACCCCCATGGGTGCCTTCCCCCAGGCTTTGCTGGGACTCTGGGTAGGTCCCCTGCCAGCTCCCACTCTTTCCTGGTCTCCCTTCTTTCTGGATGTAGGCTGAGAGGTTTCACTATAAGTATGCTTTCCTGTAAAGGGGACTTGGGGGCTGCAGATGGGGAATGTGTGTGCTGTGGACTGCACGTGTCCCCAGGCAGTCTTGTGTGCGGCTCTGAATTACAGACACAGTTTGTGTGTGTGCACAATGGGAGCTGTATATATTGGGTGCACATCCCAGAACGATGGGTTGTGTGTCCAGGTGGGGGGAAGTGGGTATCACCGTGTGCGCAGGGGCTGTGCACAGGCTGGGGACTGTGGGTACCCTTGTGGCTGTGCCTTGTGGCATGTCCGGGACCCCGATGTCTTCCAGCTTCAACTTCCCTCCCTCCTCCATCCCACTAGGCTCTGCCAAAGCTGAGAGTGACAAACATCAAAGCGTAGGGCCCGGCCAGGGGCCAGGGTCTGCAGTGGATGAACACCAGGACAATGTCTTCTTCCCCAGTGGGCGGCCACCCCACCTGGAGGAGCTGCACACGCAAGCGCAGGAGGGGCTCCGCTCACTGCAGCACCAAGGTAACACTCCCCTCCCGCCAGCGCACTCTCTTAGCTCCCAAGGTTGGAGGCCTAGCCCAACACACCCTCTGGTATCTTCCAGAAAAACAGAAACTGAACAAAAGTGGCTGGGACCATGGAGACACCCAGAGTATCCAGGTGAGCCCCCCGCCCAGTCCCGCTGGACTCCTCCCTCCCTGCCCGACCTCTGCACGCACCTCTCTGGAACTGTTTCCTTCCTGTGTCCTGAGGGACCAGGCCAAGGTTGCTGCAGCTGCTGCTGGGTTATACTGGGGGTGGGGCCGATCCACGAGCCAGAGTTCCAGTGGGGAGAGTTGGAGGCAGCCCCGCCCAGGCCAGGGCCTGATCGCCTTCTTCCCCCGATAGTCCTCCCGTGCGGGGCCGGATGAAGACAGCATCTCCTTCTGCAGCCAGACCACGTCCTACACGGCCGAGAGCTCCACGGCAGAGGACGCTCTTTCTATCCGCTCCGAGATGATCCAGCGCAAAGGTGTCTGCGCAGCAGCTGGGATTTGTGGGCAGGGGAGGGGACGGTGGGCACCGTCAGCTTGCCCGTTTCCTCCTAACCCAGGGGCTCGCTAGGCTCTGTGACTCAGTGAATTCAGGAAACACAGTCTCCTGTGTCCTCCTGGAGATTCACAGCACGTGGGCTGTACAGCAGGACAGTTCATTCAGAGTGGGGAAGCCTGGGTGTGAGGCCTGGCATTGCCATGTACTAGCTGTGTGACCTTGGGCAGACCCTTAACCTCTCTGAGCCTCTGTTTAATGTTCTATAAAAAGGAGAGTAATAAGAGTACTTACCTTGTTGGAATGAATGCCAAGTGTTTCACCTGCTGGCTGACACATAGTCCTGTGTTTACTGAGTGGAAATTATCATTGTTGACTTAGCAGCATCCTAGAAGTCTTACAGAAAAGCAGCTTCCCATTTGGTTTAACCCGGCTTCGCCCACACACCTATTTGTGCAAATTGTTTTTTTCCCAGAACTCTTCTTATTCCACAAAAGTGGTGCTCTGCAGAGTGTGCTGAGTCCTGCTGCTCTAACGGTTTTTTTTTTTTCTCCACCCCTGCTCATCTCCCCCGGACTGGCCCCCAGGCTCCACCTTCCGACCTCATGACTCATTTCCAAAGTCATCCGGGAAGTCAGGGCGGCGGCGGCGGCCACGGCGGAGCACGGTGCTAGGTCTACCGCAACACGTGCAGAAGGAACTCGGTGAGCCCTGGACTGGGAGGGCGGCGGCGGTGGCCTCGGGGAGCGCTGGCCAGCCCCTCTCTGCTGACCCCCCACCTCTCCCGTTCCTCCCAGGCCTGCGAAATGAGCGGGAGGCACCAGGCACTCCTCGGCCTCCTGGTCCGCGGGACGCTGTACGCATCCCCACTGTGGATGGCCGCCCAGCGGGGCTGGCCTTGGGGACAGGGGCCCGGGTGTCCCTGCAGGCGCTGGAGGCAGAGGCGGAGGCGGGCGCCGAGACAGAGGCCGCGCTGCAGCGCCACATCGACCGTGTCTACCGGGACGATACCCTGGTTGGCCGGTCCACAGGGGCCCGGCCCCCGCCGTTGAACCGGCCCATGTCCTTAGCAGTGCCTGGAATGACCGGAGGAGCAGGGCCTCCGGAGCCCCTCAGCCCAGCCATGTCCATCTCGCCCCAGGCCACTTACTTGTCAAAGCTGATCCCACACGCTGTGTTGCCACCCACCGTGGACGTGGTGGCCTTGGGCCGCCGCAGCCTGCGCACGCTGAGCCGCTGCAGCCTGCTCTCGGCCAGCCCGGCCTCCGTCCGCTCGCTGGGCCGCTTCTCCTCAGCCTCGAGCCCACGGCCCCTCAGCCGCCACCCCTCCTCCTCCAGCGACACCTGGAGCCACTCTCAATCCTCCGAGACCATCGTATCCGACGGGTCCACCCTCTCTTCGAAGGGGGGCTCCGAGGGCCGGCCAGAAGGCTCAGTGGCCAGCAGCAGCGTGGCACCCCCTCCCCAGGGCGGCAGTGGCCGGGGCTCCCCCAGCGGGGGCAGCACTGCAGAGGCCTCGGACACGGTCAGCATCCGGAGCAGCGGGCAGCTGTCGGGCCGCAGTGTGTCCCTCCGGAAGCTGAAGCGGCCCCCACCCCCTCCCCGCCGGACCTACTCCCTGCACCAGCGGGGCTCCGCAGCACCTGACGGCCCCTCCGGCTTGCCTCCCAAGCCTGAGCGCAAGCAGCCGCAGCAGCCGCTGCCGCAGCCCCGGCCACCCACCACCGGGGGATCAGAAGGGCTGGGGGCGGCACCCTGTCCCCGCACCTCAGCAGGCGGCTGGGCGCCTGGCTTGTCTCCGAGTGGCTCCCGGCGCCCCCCGCGCTCCCCAGAACGGACGCTTTCACCCTCTAGTGGGTACTCGAGCCAGAGTGGGACCCCCACCCTCCCTCCCAAGGGTTTGGCAGGTGCCCCTGCTTCCCCAGGCAAGGCTCAGCCGCCTAAACCCGAGCGTGTCACTTCCCTTCAATCTCCTGGGGCCTCTGTCTCCTCCTCCCTCACTTCTCTGTGCTCCTCCTCCTCTGACCCTGCCCCCTCGGACCGCTCTGGTCCGCAGATGTCAACCCCCCTGGGTGACAGGTTTGTGATACCTCCTCACCCCAAGGTGCCTGCGCCCTTCTCCCCACCTCCCTGCTGTGCGACTCAAGGCATCCAGCCTGGCTGCCGCCGACGGCCCGCTGAGTGCCCAACCCAGCGGAGCGCCCGAGGCAGAGCCGCGGCCTCCCCAGTCTCCCGCCTCCACCGCCAGCTTCATCTTCTCCAAGGGCACCAAGAAGCTGCAGCTCGAGCGGCCCGTGTCTCCTGAGGCCCAGGCTGACCTCCAGCGGAAAATGGTGGCTGAACTTCGGAGCATCTCGGAGCAACGAGATGCCCAGGCCCCAAAGAAGCCGCCGAAGGCTCCCCCACCTGTGGCCCGCAAGCCGTCTGTGGGAGTCCCGCTGCCTGCCTCCCCCAGCTTCCCTCGGGCTGAGTCCCTCACTGCTCCTCCCACCAATGGCCTCAGTCATGCCGAGGACAGGACTAAGGGGGAGCTGGCCGCGAACGGAGGTGTGGTGCAGCTGGCGTGCCCAGAGGAGAAGATGGGCTCCCCAGGCTCAGGTATGGTGGGCAGTGGTGGGAAGTGGTCATGCCGAGTACCCTCGGAAGGGTTCGCGCTTCGTCTTGGGATGCCTGGGAAGCTACTGGGAAGGAGCTACTGGGGTGAGGCTGGGGGGCCTTGGCATCACGCCAGCTGAGTTTGAATCCCAGCTTCGCCATTTTTCCTGCCCGTCCTAGGCCCCTGTGACGCTACAGTGGCAGGGGTCACGTTTGTCGTGGCCAGCCAGTGCTGCTGGCGTGGGCTGGAAGGGGTGGGAAAAGGCAGGGTGAGGATGTGCCTTGGGCTCTCAGTGCCAGAACCAGGCTGGGGAGCCCTCCACCAAGTGTCCTTTCTTTTCCTCACAGACCCAAAGAAGGAGCTGGTCTGACCACCAGGCACCTCAGTGGCACTGCTGACCCATCCCAGGTACACAATCTCTCAGGGACCTGAGCAGCTCCAAGGACAAGAGGAACCGGCAGACACAACCTGAGAGGATGCCCGCAGCCTTAACCTCCACGGCCTTCGATATTTATGCAAGTCTGGCGTTGCCCGCCCTCCCATGTGTGCCCGACTGGATCACCTCTGCCAGCTGCCAGCTGCCAGCTGTGGCGTCCGTCTTGGCCTTAGCCTCATCTCCTAGGAGGTAGCTGGAGGGAGTGGGTAGCTGCGCCCCCTGCTGGCCCCAAGGCCACATAGGTGGGTGCAGAGCGCCTCACGAGTTTATTTCGTTCCATTTTTTTTGTGTCCAAATCATGCATATATACTGTAGTCCAGAATCAAAGCACTTTTGAAAAAGTGGCTGCACGTCCATTCTGCGGGGCCCGTGAAACCACACTCCAGGGCCTGTTTACACGGCAGCAGCGTGGGTCTCTGGTAGCCAGCCCAGAGCTCCACCCACCTGCCCCTCCTCCCTCCATCCAGTTTGCTCCTTTTCTTAGTTCGTGGAGGTGGGCGAGTTGTTGCATCCGCATAGGCTTCCGCTGGCGGGCCGGGCGCAGGAGCGGGGCTGTGGCACTCCAAAGCACAAAAGGTGCAGTGGGGCTGGCCTTCCTGTGCCTCCACTTAGCACCAACCACCCTCCTGCCTTCCAGTTCTGCCAGGTGCTCCATGCAGGGGACAGGGAGGAGACTGCCAGGGCCCAGATGGGTGGGCGGAGGAAGACAAAGCGGAGGTCCACGGGCTGGCTCTGTCCCCGGTGGCAGGACAGAGGAGTGACATCTCGGTGGGCACCTGGCATGCCGGGCGTCTGCTCCTTACTCTCCTCCAGCGGGTCTCTGCAGCTCTTCAGAGGCTGTGTCCCTAAACCTGTCCCCTTGGCAGGAACTACTGAGGCGGCGGATGGGGAGGAGGTCTGGTGGGGGCTGGCTTATTTGGCAGTGGCCCAGACCTGGCCCCACAGCCTTCCTTCCGACCGTTCCCTCTGCTGTTTCGCGGGTGCATCCTCCTGGCTGCAGCTTCCAGCACAGGTGGCGGAGGCGATGTGAACGGCAGGGCTGGGAAACCAAAGACAGCTTTTACTGGAGACTCCTCCCCAGTAAACAAGGGGCTACCCAGGGCTCCGCAGCAGCCGGCTGGGTAGGTGTCCCCTGGATGTCAGCCTCTGCTGCTCATCTCTCCTCTGGGGATTTTAATGGACCTTCCCTTCCTGTTTGCAGCCTGTGCCACCTACGTAGGTAATGGCTGTCCCTGCAGGAGTGTGGCTGCCACCCGTGGCTGCCCCTTCTTGGTCTTCTTTCCTCAACAGTGAGTTGGGCTTGAGCCTGGCAAGGAATCTCCTTTTTAGTTTCTCTACCACCAAGGAATGAGATTAGCCCTCCCTCCCCAGACCAGAGCTAGGAATGCAGGGAGTGTGGTGTGAGAGACCAGGCTCTTGTGGCCCTCGCTAGGGCATCTTCAGTCTGTCCCTACTGTCTTCTTCCTGTGGCTCCAAGCCCAGGCTGTCCCCTGGCTCTCCCTGTGGGTAACGGAGCTGCTGCTGGGTCTGTGTGGCCCCTGCCCGGCGAGTTGGGGGAGGAGGACAGTCAGTAAGCACTGCTCTTCTCAGAGCTGACCCTCTCCACCCCCAGGACACAGGCAGGGCTGGGTCCAAGCTCCTTGGAAACTGGGCCCTGGTGCAGCCCTGGGAGAGCCTGACTTCCACCTTCCCCTTCCCTCACCTGCAATGTTACGGGAGCTCTCTATCCTCAGATAGGATCTTCTGAGCTTGCTTCCCCTGGGTGGGACAGAGTGCAAAGCAGGGGGATGATCTAGAAGAGGCGACCCTTCTTTGTCCTCTAGGGTAAGTGAGCTTGACCTAGTGCAAATGGAGAGACCAAAAGCCTCTGATTTTTAATTTCCATAAAAATGTCAGAGAGAAGTATATATATATATTTCTTTAAATTTTTGAGTCTTTGATATATCTATACAGACAATTCATTCCCTCTGCCCCGAAGCCTGCGTGAGACACATGGAAAAGCTGTGTTTCATTTGAAGGTGTTAATTAAATGATTGAAACTTGGCTGTGACTGCTGCTGCTTTGTCCCCTCCATGACAGACGGGTGCCAGCTCCAGTTGGGGTCTGAGGGAGGCCCAGTCATGCCCGCGGCCCCTTGAAGGGAGGGGCGGGTGGGGGTCTGGGGCTGTATTCGAAGGGGGTGTGTTCTGCCTGCTGCCAGCACTGGACCTAGGACTGGGCCTCTTCTGCCCCGCCCCCCATCACAGGCCCGCCCAGCTGGGTGAGGGGTGCAGCAGCTGTCCCACACCCATGCTCTCTGCTGCGATGGCCCAGCCCACACACAGGCACCACTCAGGCTCCATTGTTCAGACACTTTATTTGAATTTCTGATACTGATGGTGATTTGATTGAGATGTCTTATGGAGAAGTACCCGACCCTCTGTGAAGGAACCCACACTGCTCCATCCGTTCCACTCCTGATGCTAACACAGCTGGATGAAGGGACCCTGCGGGAGCCCTGTGGCCATCCCTGTGCCCCAGGGCCAAGCCTCAGGAGGCAGGCACTGGGAAAGCGGCCAGCTACTCGGTAGACCACTAGCTTCTCTGTTTTCTCTTCTCTTTCCTTTTCAAATCCCACAATTTCCTGTTGGGGAGAAGCTGTAATTAGCCCAGTCCAGGCACTAGATCCCGACTAGAGGCACAGCTGCTGGGATAATTCCAAGAAAACCTGGAAACCAGTATTTTTCCAATTACGAGGACTGTGGCATGAGAGTGACATTGGAACCAGATTTCTCAGGTTGGCTGCCAAGGGAAGAGGGCAGAGCTGACTTCCTGCCGCCCTGCTCTCAGCACTCCCCGCCAGGGTCAGTCTCACTGTAGCCAGACAGCAGGAGCCCAGACTCTGCGCCGGGGAGCCGCAGGCCCACGGATCTGCTGCTTCAGTGTCCTGAGGTGGGCTATGGATGACGGACGAGCAAACTGAGGAGGCAGCGGAGGGCGCAGGATGATGGGGGAAGGGAGGAGCCGCCAGGCCGCTAGCTGATGTTCCCGCCTTTCAGTGATTTGCAGGAGACGCAGCCCAGCTTGGTCATGAAGTTGGTGTGCTTCCACTGTGCGACGCACTCCTCGGAAATTTTAAAGTCGGCCTGCACAAGACAGCAAGAGGTGGAGACAGTGGTGGGAGTGAGTGCAGGCCCTCTTTTTTTTTTTTTGACAGGCAGAATTTAGACAGTGAGAGAGAGAGAGACAGAGAGAAAGGTCTTCCTTCCGTTGGTTCACCCCCCAAATGGCTATTACAGCCAGCACGCAGCGCCGACCTGAAGCCAGGAGCCAGGTGTTTCCTCCTGGTCCCCCATGCAGGTGTAGGACCCAAGCACTTGGGCCATCTTCCACTGCCTTCCCGGGCCACAGCAGAGAGCTGGACTGGAAGAGGAGCAACTGGGACTAGAACCCGGGGTGCCGGTGCCGCAGGCGGAGGATTAGCTTAGTGAGCCACGGCTATTTGTGGAATGAATGATCCTCTGGATCTCTGGGGAAGGCCATGTGTGGGTTGGCGTGCAGACAGGAGAGAATGAGAGCTCCAAGGTCAGAGTGGGCAGGGGGCACCCTGACAGGGTTTTGATCCTGGCTCCATCACTTCTGGCAACCCCATGTGGCCGCTGGAAACTATTCTGTCGGTAAGATGGGGATGATCCTCCAGGGCCTGAGGATCGAGTGAGGAAATGTCTGAGTCCCTCCCACAGTGCCTCAGTACCTGCAAGGCCTGGACCACCATGCTGCTCAGAAAGGTCTGGAATGAAGATGGGGCTCAGAAGTCCCCACTGGGGGAGGATAGCGTGCTGTGGTACAGCAGGTGAAGGCGCAGCCTGCGACTCCGCATACTCTTTGAGCACAGGTTTGAGCAGTGAGAGCAGTGGCTGCTCCAATTCCAATCCGGTTCCCTGCTAATGTGCCTGGGAAAGCACTGCAGGATGGCCCAAGTCCTTGGGCTCCTGCCACCCACGTGGGAGACTTCTATGAAGCTCCTGGCTGTGGCCTGGCAAAGCCAAGGCCTCTGTGGCCATTTTGGGGAGTGAAGCAACAAATGGAAGATCTGTTGGTCTCTCCCCTCCTCTGTCTCTGTAACTGCCTTTCAAATAAATAAATAAATCTTTAGGAGGCAGTGTCATGGTGCAGTGGGTTAAATCATTTTCTACAGTGCTGGGTTTGAGTCCCAGCTGCTTCACTTCCAACTCAACTCTTTGCTAATGCCCCTGGGAAGATGGCCCAGGTCCTTGGGCCCCTGCACCCATGTGGGAGACCAGGATGGAGTTCCTGGCTTTGGCCTGGCCCAGCCCTGGCTGTTGTGGCCATATGGGGAGTGAACCACCAGATGGGAGACCTCTCTTTGTTTCTCCCTCTCCATCACTCTTTCAAGTAAATAAATCTTAAAAAATAAACAGCCCAAGAAGTCCCAACTGGGAAGGAGTCGGCTGTGGATTCAGTAACAGAGCAAGCAGTTTGGGCACACAGTCCAGGCGCCCAGCCCAACGGGAACACCTGCAGCTCCCTACCTGCAGCTTCTCAAAGACTTTCTTCTTGGGCTTGAGCTCTTCATCTGGCTGGCCCTTCTCGTAGCCCTTCACAAACACTCGCTCACCAGGGGCAGAGCCTGCAGGAGGGTCCAGAGGTTCAACCTGGCGGTTTACCCCTTCTCTGGGAAGACACACGGGACAAGGGAAGGGTGAGGCGATGGATGCCTTCCAGAAGCCGGGGTGGCCAAAGCAACTAGGCCCTTCCGTAGGGACCCACGTGGGATTTAGGGTCTCCTCGATGCCAGAGCCCAGGAGGTCCTCGCTTAGCTGGCCTGGTTAGCACCAGCGTTAGGTTACGAGGAAATCTGATGCCACAGTCTGGGTCTCAGGGGAAGCAGTATGAAACAACCCAGCAAGGACTTTCCAGCCCCTCAGAACTGGATCTGAATCCTGGCTCCACCTCTCAGAAACTCCTTTGAAAACTCAATTTCTATTTTAACAAAAATCAACTGAGCAAAGTGCTTCAGTCATGTACTTGTACATGTTATCTTCTGGCATCAGTGTGGAGGAGACACGTGTTCTCAGGGCTTCCGCAGGCCTAGGGAAGGGCAGCACGTGGGCCAGCTCCCTTATCCTCCTGACCTCCCCCGCAATGCCTCACTCACGTGGACGCGCACAGAAGCATGCCCTGGGACTCGACTCCCCTCATCTTCTGGGGTTTCAGGTTGCACAGCACCACCACCAGCCGGTCCTGCAGTTCCTCCTTGGGCACGAACTGTACCAGGCCGCTCACCACAGTCCGGGGCTCAGCTTCCCCGACCTCGATCTTCTCCACGTACAGGCTGTCTGCATCTGGGTGCTGCCAGCAAGACATGTCAGGTAGCAGAAGAGCAGAGTGGGGAGGACAGAGGGCTCGGGGAAATCTGACTCCAGGAAGGGGCATCTGCTCCTGGTAGAGCCCCCTGGAGGGACCTCTGGAGCTCACCCTTTCCAGCCCCAGATGGCAGGCAGGAGAAATGGGCATTCCAGGTACGGTCTGCTCTGGGCCAAGAGGCCAGCTTTGAGGGAAATGAACCCATATGCTTGTGTAAGAGGTCAAGGAATCGCTGGCAGAGACCGATGGCCTGGACTGTCTGGGTAGCCACCACTATGGTCCGTGTGCCGTGCTAGATGGGTCCCAGGTGACTGGGAGATGGGGGACAGCTGGACAACTGTTGGCCTCAGCATCTGAAGCACCAGTGGCCGTCAAGGGGGTTCTGGTGACTAGGTCTTTACAGGGAAAGGTCACTCCATGCTAGGTGTGAAAAGCCCAGAGCAACAGTCCTGGCACTGGCCACACGACCCCTGTCTCAGGAAAAGGAAGTCCTCCTCCCTCCACCACTGTCTGAAGGGGGAGACAAAGTGGCTGAGCCGAGATAGGGCTGGCAGCTTGTCCATGCAAGTGAAGAGAAAGCAGGTGAGTCCGTCAGACCGGATTTCACAGATAAACAAGTTCCCTCTGACTAACACCCGCCCCCCAACTCTGAGTGCCTGGACGTGTTTGGTTGCATAAGGTCCGGAGGCCACGCAAAGCCCGACACCTGGAATCAGACGCCTGCACTCTGCCTGCAGTGTGACCCCGGGGATGTTGCTTCCCGTCTCCAGGCCAGGCGCCTGACCCCATCTGCTTCTCTGGGATGTGGTAAGAACGAGTACCTTCTCCACACTGATGATTTTCCCCACACGGATGTCCAGCCGAGAGGGGATGACTTCCTCTGGTTCTGAATTCTTGGCAGGGCCTTTGGCAACTGGCTCTGGGAATGAAAAAACCTCATGGGATCAAGACTCTCCTCCTTCCCCATGGCAAGTGAGCTGCTGATCCCACCAAAATGAGGACTTGGAGCTCAGGCAAGATTTGGTTTAGAGCCCCCAGAATCAACCAACCCTTTAAAGAAGGGTTAAACCTTCTTTAAAGAAGGGAAGACAGGGGCCGGTGCCAGGGCGTAGCAGGTAAAACCACTGCCTTTGATGCTGGCATCCCATATGGGCACCGCTTCACGTCCTGGCTGCTCCACTTCCAATCTAGCTCCCAGCTAATGGCTTGGGAAAAGCACTGGAAGATGGCCCAAGTACTTGGGCCCCTGCCACCCATGTAGAAGACCTGGAAGAACCTCCTGGCTTTGACCTGGCCCAGCCCCTGCCATTGCAGCCATCTGGGGAGTGAACCAGCAGATGGAAGATCTCTGTCTCTCTGACTTTTAAATAAATACATGATCTTAAAAAAATAAAGCAAGGTTGAAAACCTTTCAGAAGTGACGGGCCAGATTTTCATCTACTCTGTCCTTCTGTTGTCAGGGTGGAGGGGAAGGAGGGGACATTGGTAGCTTTGCCACCTTTAGGCGTTCCCATTCATGATTTCACATACTGAGTCCTTCCTGGGAGGGTCACATGAAGCTACCAATGCCAGTGGCTTGGCATCATGGACAAGGTGTGGATGGCCGACTGAGAGCCAGGCGGAAGCACTGGGAGGGCAGCCGCGTCACAGACAACCACCCCACGGCCAGCTGCCCACAGGTGGTCTAACCCAGTCCCTCTCCTAGTGAAGAGGCGGGCTTAGTGACCCAGTAGTGTTGGCCCACCAGGATGTAATGACCCCACGGCACTGACCACAGTGACTCTAGATCTCTCAGCACTCAGCGGGATATGTGAGTCCTGCCCTTCAGACCCCCAGGTTCTTGGGCCCACTGACCAGGGGCTCTACAGACCCCATCACCTCCTCCCTGGCCTCCCCCCTCCCCAGCTGGCTTACTCTGCTTTGAGGGATCTGGATAGGCAGCACTGGCCAGCTTTTTCAGGGCAGGGGAATTAAACTTCTCCCTGATGGGATCCAGCAACTTGTTCAGGGCGACTTCAACAGAATTCTTGAGGTCTCCAGGGTGTACAACCTGCAGAAGCCAATGCGACCAGGTGAGAAGAAGCCTAACAGGGCGCAGGACACTCAATAGACTAACGTACACAGGATGCAGGGACTTGGTTCCCCACATGCAGTCTTATTTGATCCTCGTGACCTTCTTGTGAGGAAGATAAAGAAAAGGGGGAACACATTTCAGAAAGGCTAACTCATCTAAAACACAGAATTTTCTTAAAAAAATTTATAGATTTATTTATTGGGGCCAGCATTGTGGTACAGGGGGTTAAGCCTCCATCTGCGATGCTGGAATTCCATATGGGTGCCAGTTTGATCCTGGCTGCTCCACTTCTGATCCAGTTCCCTGCTAATGTGCCTGGGAAAGCTGTGGAACACAGCCCAAATGCTGGGGCACTTGCCACCCATGTGGGAGATATGGATGGAGTTCCAGGCCTCTGGCTTTGGCCTGGCCCAGCTCTGGCCATTATGACCACTTAGGGAGTGAATCAGCAGATGGAAGATCTCTGTAACTCTGACTTTCAAGTAAAAATAAATATTTTTAAAGGCAGAGATAGGTAAATAGACTACTGGTTTACTCCCCAAACAAGAGCTGGGTCTGGGCCAGGCTGAAGCCAGGAGCCAGGAGCTCTATCTTGCTCTTCCAAGTGGGCAGGGGCCCAAGTACTTGGGCTCCCTCCGCTGCCTTAACAGACACATTACCAGGAAACTACATCACAAGTAGAATAGCCGGGACTCAAATTGGTACTCTGATATAGGATGCCAGCGTCAAGTGGCGGCTTAACCTGCTGCACCACAGAGACAGCCTCCAGCTGTGAATTCCACATGTACTTGAGAGTGTTTGAGGCTGGATGTATTTATTGGTCTAATTCTTCCAGTCCCTCCATTTATGCTTAGAGTGGTGGCATAAACGGAGTGTTGTACAGAGAAACACACAGGTAACCAAGGGTGACAGACAACCTGCAGGAGTGCGCTGAGTTAGAGAAGAAAGAACAAGGGCTATGTATGGAGTTAGACAGACCTGGGTTTGATTCCCAGCTATTTGTGTAACCCCAAACTCAACCCCTCTAGGTTTTGGCTCCTTTTCTTATAACATGAAGATAACAACAGCTGTGTTCCAGAGTCAGAAGGAGGACCACATCACATCATGGAAGTGGGAAAAGAGTGCTGGTCCAAGGGTTCAGGTTGAGCATCCCTAATCCAAAAAGCTCCAAATTTGGAAATTTTTGAGTGCTAAAAATTCCACATCTGATCTCACGTCACAGTCGAAATGTGGGCACACTAAAAATACTGTGTAAGATTACCTTCTGGCTATGTGCATCATGAAATCCATGTTTGGATTTGGGTCCCACTCCCATGTCATGATGTACATGCAGATATTCCAAAATTTGACAAAATCTGAACTCTGAAATGCTTCAGATTCCAGGCATTCTGGATAAGGGATATTCAGCCTGTAGTTTAATAATTTATTTTTTCAGTGGCTGGCACCCCATATGGGCGTGCAGGTTGAAGTCTCAGTTGTTCCACTTCCCATCCAGCTCCCTGCTAATGTGCCTGGAAAGGCAGTGGGAGACGGCCCAGACTTGGGCTCCTATTTACATGTGGGAGACACAGAAGAAGCTCCTGGTTCTTGGTTTCAGCCTGGCACAGCCCTGGACATTGCAGCCATTTGGGAGTGAACCAGCGGATGGAAGACCTCTCTCTCTCTCTCTCTCTCTCTCTCTCTCTTTTTTCCTTTCTCTAACTTGGCCTTTCAAATAAATAAGATAAATCCTAAAAAAAAAAAAATTCATTTGTTTGTATGTCCTGTGACTATTCTTCTATATCCAAATCTGGCCTGAAAGCGTCTTCGAGATATTCTGAGAGGACATTCTTTAAGCCTGCGTATCTATAATACTATGATGCCTGCATTTTTGTTTCTGGTGCTACTTCTTCATTTCCCTGTGAGTATTCAATTTTTAAAAATACAAAACCTTTAGGCTTGCTGCTGACCTATCCGGTAGCCACTAACCTTGTGCAGGTATTAAAGGTATTAACATTCAATTTCTCAGGTGCACCAGCCCCACGCAGCTTCTGCAGGCAGCACCCAGGAAAAGTGCTCTCGGATGGGGCGGCTGCAGACCTGTGTCAGAGGCCCATCGTCAGTTCCCTCTCATTACTCCCTCCAAACACTGTTTACGGGTTTGAGGGGCGGAGTGCAGCTTCTGTGGCCTTCCTCGGACGGTGGAGAGAAGGGCTGCAGAGCCATGGCTATGAAATATCCATTAAAGGGCCTTGCAGGCCTTCAGACTTCAGAGGTCACCGAGCCTTTCCCTGCATCTGATGCTCAAAGCTGCATACAACGCTGCCTCTGAGTGGTTCTCCAGCCTCTGCCTGAGCACCTCCAGTGAGGGGAACTCGAGGTCACGGTGAGGCAGCTCTGTCCAGCATCAAACCACTGAGGTCAGAGAGAGTTCTTCCTGAGGCTGAAGACAAACGGGCTGCCCTGGGGCCCTGGGGCCCGCTTCTATAGTCCTGCTTTGATCCCCTCCACCCCGAGTCCAGCTGGAATCTGAGGGTGACTGAACACATACCTGCTTTCCAGATGCACACCCCCAGTTCTCTGAACTGTGCGTTTTGTGACATGGTTGATTCTGATCCATCACACCATTGCTCCTTCCCTACCCAACACGTCTGAGTTGTTAAATAAACCACTCAGGGGCCAGAGCTTAGGAGGTAAAGGCGCCACTTGCATTGTAGACATCCTATATGGGCGCTGGTTCGAGTCCCAGCTGCTCTACTTCTGATCCAGCTCGCTGCTATGGCCTGGGGAAGCAGAAGATGGGCCAAGTGCTTGCGCCCCTGCACCCATGTGAGAGACCTGGCTGGAAGAAGCTCCAGGCTCCTGGCTTTGGACCAGCCCAGCTCTGGCCCTTGTGGCCATCTGAGGAGTGAACCAGAGGATAAAAGACCTCTCTCTTTGTCTCTCTGTAATTCTGCCTTTCAAATAAATAAATATCTACAAAATTATAAATAAGTAAACTGCTCAGAGTCCATGTCCAGGACTGACTGCACAACCCCCGTGCATGCAGAGCCACAGAGCACTTAGTGGACTAGCACTTCTCAGGTTTTGAACTCTACATTCCTGATGACTTAGTCCAGGATTTCTGTTTTGTTTTTTATTTTACTATTTTTTATTTTGACAGGTTGAGTTATAGAAAGACAGAGAGAAAGGTCTTCCTTCCATTGGTTCACTCCCCAAATGGCCGCTACGGCCGGCACTGTGCCAGCCTGAAGCCAGGAGCCAGGTGCTTCCTCCTGGTCTCCCATGTGGGTGCAGGGCCCAAGCACTTGAGCCATCCTCCACAACAGAGAGCTGGACTGGAAGGGGGCAGCCGGGACTAGAACCCAGTACCCATATGGGATGCTGGTGCCGCAGGCAGAGGATTAGCCAAGTGAGCCACAGCGCAGGCCCCAGGATTTCTGTTTTTTAAAAATCATTTTATTGGTATTCTCCCTTTACAAATTTTTATTTATTTGAAAGAGAGAGGTGAGGAAGAAGGGAGAGGAGGGTACCTGCTGGTTTACCCCCCACATTAACAGCCCTGAGGCTGGGTTGAAGCCAGGAGCCCAGAACTCAATCCAGGTTTTCCACGTGGCTAATAGGGACCCCACTGCTCAAGCCATTACCCACTGCCCTCCACGTGTATATAGGGAGGAAGCTGGATTGGAAGTGGAGCTCGCACTTGAACCCAGGCACCCTGAGAGGGGAGGCTGGCGTGTCCCAAGCATCAGTGTCAGGCACCCTGAGAGGGGAGGCTGGCGTGTCCCAAGCATCAGTGTCAGGCACCCTGAGAGGGGAGGCTGGCGTGTCCCAAGCATCAGTGTCAGGCACCCTGAGAGGGGAGGCTGGCGTGTCCCAAGCATCAGTGTAACTGTCATGCCAGACACCTGCTCCTTCATTAACATTTCAAGCAGTTCAATCAAACTGTTGATTCAGCTTGAATTCCGAGTCAATCAAGACCCTCTATTTCATTCCTTATATACACTACTCATATCTTCTCTCAGTGTACTGTAAAATAGAAAATAACATTTGTTTACATATCTGCCTCCCCTGCTGGACTGAGATCCATGAGGATTTAACCCTTGGTAGTTATCAATCCCTAGCAACAGTGCCTAGCACAAGGTCCTTACTAATTCTTTTGTTAACTGAATGAATAGTAGCCTCTGTTCTGTCCTCTTGTAGTATCTCTCTTGTTTGAATCTTGATTTTGCACCTGTCCCTAAAATACTCCATCTTGTTGGGCTTCATCTTGTATTGACATCTGTCAAGTTCTTTGGAGAGTGATTAAGACTCCTTTTGTCTTAATTTTGTGCCATTTGCCTGTATACCCTGTGGAACGCCTGAATCCTCATCTAAACCATTATACAAAATATACTTGCACAGCCCTGGAAAGCATCAAGACGGAACCCTGTGGCACACAACTACAACCTGCCAAGGCCGAAAGGGAGAGGTTCGTTTTCCTGTAGTATTACCTCATCAGCGAAATCCTTTTCCAGGTCCGAGTAAGCTGTGTAGGTTTTGTTTCCACCCCATTTCTCGTCTCGAAGGATCACGAACTCTGTAAGAAAAAGCATCTATGCCCATAAACTCATTGATAACAGCAGAGCCAGCTTTCCCAGGCCACACGCACGACAGTGGGGTTTGCCACATGGACTGTGAGCTTTGTGACCATTTCTGCCATTTTACTGCTCTTAAATTGGAAGAGTGGGACACCGTATACCCAGCTGGAGCCTGGCTCCTGAGGGATCACGGCTCCCATTTCTTTCGGGTAACTCCAGCTCAACATGCCTGACCCCACCCTCACTAAACATCCTTGCCTACTCTGACACCCCCGCAGAACACAGCCTGGTGACGAATGCTTGGGCAACTCGACGGTATGCCAACGTCATCCACACGTTAATGAATGAGCAATCAGAGCAGAGAAGCTGGGGGAAGAGTGTGCCAAACCCCAGGTGTGACCGCAGCACTAGCCTCTGAGAAGAGAGCAGGGGTGCCCTACCGGCCTTGAGGGGGAAGAGCACGTGCTTGATGAAGGACAGGACCCCATTGTTCTCCACGTTTCCTGGCTCACAGAACGCCTTCTTCAGTTTTTTCTTCACATCTTCCTTGCGATCAAGGAGATCGATCTTGGACTCCTAGATGCCATGGGGGGAAGGGGACCTCTTGTGGTTGAAAATGGGAACATGCTCAAGTAATCTGTGGATTCTTTTTAAAACAGATCTCAACATTAAACCACCATAACAAAAGCAGAGTTTGAGGGAAGAACCACTCACAACCCTGCCACCCCTAAGGGCAGCAATAAATAAATTTTTCTGTACTCTTCCTAAGCCTCATTGTTGTAAATTTGTAGAAAAATGGGGCCAGCGTTGTAGCCTAAAGGGTACACATGACTGTATAAGAATCAGCTGGGTTCTTCTAAAAAACACCCGTAGCGAATGTGCGTCAGCCTGAGGGGTATAGTGCTTTGTTGGGGGGGATGACTGACACGTGGGGCATCTTAAGGTGAGAGAAAAAGGAATGAATGCATTTCTTTAAAAATAAAGACAAAAGTGATAGCAATATATCATATATTGTATTTACCACTATCTGATCACACACATTTTGAGAAGTCAGGCTGAAAGAATTAAACAAGTGCCCCAGTGTGACTTAAACCAGAATCCATGAATCATCCTAGAACCATTTTATCAGAATGTCTAAGGACAGGGCTCAGTCAACAGTAAAGTGTCGTCATCTTGACTGCTGTACCATATGCCTGCCCCATTTGTTTTAATTCCCTAGTTGATTCTAAATGTCAGCCACATGAGGAACCCAAAACTCAATTTTTCACATCTTTGGCTTCCACTAATTCCTCTATGCTGTGTCCCTAATGATCAGAACAGGGACATACTTTTCCCTAACAGGACAATTAAACATTAAAAGATATCATGTTTGTCATTTTAGTTATATTGAACAGTACCCCAAGAACCAAAATGCTAACTGATGAAATGCAACTATGGCCCTCTTACTAGTAAAGGTGAATTTTAGCACACCGCTACATTATTTTCCTTATTTTTTTTTAATCCATAAAAAATAGCAATAAAAACGATTCCAATTACAACTGGATCCCCTCGGGACTGGTTCTGGCTCCTGTAACACTCAACAACCACTAAATTAATTGGACGACATAAGGTCACTCATAGCTCAAATATTTGGGAGCTCTATAGTTCGCCAGGTTTTTGCACTTTTGAGTTCTCAATCTCTCCAGCTCTTGCTGTAGATTTCTAAACAAGTCATGGCTGGCAACTTACCTCTTCAGAAGAGCTCATTTTGCTGCCAGTTAATCCTGGGACCATCGGATTCATGAGATGGACCCGTTTAGAGTAGCCAAGAGCAGGGAGGTACTGTGAGATGGGAAGCACACAAAGGCAGATATCAGCATAAATTCCTCCGCAGTGCCCTGTTCTTCCTTGACCAGCAACTTAACAGCTGATACATTCCTTCCAATACTCCTTCCACTGAATATATAGTTTCTAGTAATGACTATAATGACAACAAAGGAATTTTTTCCTACTGCTTTTCTTTCTCTTTTTTTTTTTTGACAGGCAGAGTGGACAGTGAGAGAGAGAGACAGAAAGGTCTTCCTTTGCCGTTGGTTCACCCTCCAATGGCCGCTGCAGCCGGCGCACTGCGCTGATCCGATGGCAGGAGCCAGGTGCTTCTCCTGGTCTCCCATGGGGTGCAGGGCCCAAGTACTTGGGCCATACTCCACTGCACTCCCTGGCCACAGCAGAGAGCTGGCCTGGAAGAGGGGCAACCGGGACAGAATCCGGCGCCCCGACAGGGTTAGAACCCGGTGTGCCGGCGCCGCTAGGTGGAGGATTAGTCTATTGAGCTGCGGTGCCGGCCTCCTTCTCTTTTTAAAGATTTATTTACAATTTTAAGATGGAAGCCAGTGTAGGCTACATTTTTTTTTTTTTTTAGATTTTATTTATTTGAGAGGCAGAGTTACAGACAGTGAGAGGGAGAGACAGAAAGGTCTTCTATCTGCTGGTCACTCTCTTCTTTTTTTTTTTTTTTTTTGACAGGCAGTGGACAGTGAGAGAGAGAGACACAGAGAAAGGTCTTCCTTTGCCCTTGGTTCACCCTCCAATGGCCGCCGCGGCCAGCGCGCTGCGGCCGGCGCACCACGCTGATCCGATGGCAGGAGCCAGGAGCCAGGTGCTTTTCCTGGTCTCCCATGGGGTGCAGGGCCCAAGCACCTGGGCCATCCTCCACTGCACTCCCGGGCCACAGCAGAGAGCTGGCCTGGAAGAGGGGCAACCGGGACAGAATCCGGCGCCCCGACCGGGACTAGAACCCGGTGTGCCGGCGCCGCAAGGCGGAGGATTAGCCTAGTGAGCCGCGGCGCCGGCCGGTTCACTCTCCAAATGGCCACAATGGCCAGAGTTGTGCCGATCTGAAACCAGGAGCGGGACTAGAACCAGCGTCCATGTGGGATGCTGGTGCTACAGGTAGAGGATTAACCTACTGCCACAGCACCTGCCCCTGGCTACAAGTCTTCAAAGAGGGAAAGCTCCCACTGGCTTTCTACCTGAGGGCATTTTTTCCAAACCCAGCAGCAGGAATGAGGGACCCAGCAGAGGGCAGCAGTCGGACCACACAGAAAGGGGCTGTGGGGCTACAGGGGCTAGGATTTGGGATGTGATTTAGAAAGACGGTGCCCCTCCCCCCTAAATTATGTCAAAATTCCCCATGATTTCTTGGCTGACTCATGGCTGTGAATGCCCATGGTGAGATTCCAGGAAGCCCCCCAGAGAACTGGGTCTGGGAAGCTGAAGACCTGCACAGATCTCAGGGGCTGCACAGTGCCGGGGAAACAGGGGTTGGAGTTTAGGTTCAAAGTAAAGAGGACTTTGTAAACACTCTCAGATTGTGGTTTGAGGCCTCAGAAGGACCACGCCCTAGGAGGAGGGACCACACCATGAGAGGAAGGGCAAAACTAAGGTGAACGCACTCTAACAAAGACTAAAACCAACCCCAGACTGGACCAAGGTGACAAATTTAGCAGCCGACAGAAAACATGGCACTCTATAAACAGAATCTACAACACACCTATAAACATTTGATACAATAAAAAAAAGTACCAGAAATGGGAAGAAATTAAGGGAACTGGCAGGCTGAGAAAACAATCAATAGAAACAGATCTAGAAAAAATTCAGTTATTGGAGCAAGCAAGCAAAGCAGCATGCCAAAATAACTGTGATCAGGATGGTAAAGAAAAAATGGACAAAACAAATAAAGAATTAGAAAAGGGAACTGGAAACTATAAAAAAGAATTACATGGAAGTTCTAACATGGCACAGTACAATAGTAGATCTAATAGACGACAGGATTAATGAACTTGAAAGGTTAACAGAAAATAGCCAAACAGGGGTGCTGTAGTGCAGCAGGCTAAGCTGCTGCTTTCAATGCCTGAACCCTGGATTGGAGTATCAGCTGAATCCTGGCTACTCTACTTCCAATCCAGCTTCTTGCTAATGCCTTTTTGCAGGCATCACACAATGGCTCAAGTGTTTGGGGCCCTACCACCACGTGGGAGACCTGGGTAGAGTTCTGAGTTCCTGCCGTTGGCCTGGCCCAGCCCCAGCTGTTGTGGGTATATGGGGAGTGAACCAGCAGATAGAAGATCTTTCTGTCCCACTGCATTCCAAATAAGCAAAATAATAAAGCATTGCTTTTCCCAGGCCATTAGCAGGGAGTTGGATTGGAAGTGGAGCAGCAGGGACATGAACAGGTGCCCATATGGGATGCCAGTGTCACAGGCAGCAACTTAACCTGTAGCACCACAACACCGGCCCTGTGACAAGTATTCTGAGACATAAATCCTACTGCACTCAATTCTTACTATTTCCCTGGGACAAATTTCTGAAATAGAACTATTAGGTCAGAGAAACACTTTAGGGTTGTCCAAGACTTTACATTTCCACTAGCAGCGTTTTCTCTACATCCTTGCCAATGGGAGGCTTTGAGAAGGTTTCAACAATACCAGTAACTTCTCAATAGCCCTTTTCAGCTTTCTCAGGTTCTTTCCCAGAAAAGAACTGTTATGCTTTTGTGCTGATTTCCTGCTAAACCCTGTTAAACCTCATCTCAGGGCTGAGCAGTGTACATGGGAGACAGGGCGGTGAAGACCAAGCGCTGTGGAAAGGACAGTAGCCCTGGAAAATGGGCTTCCAGGAAAGAGCGCTGTCAGCAGGTCCCGGGGCAGCTTCCCAGTGGCAGCTAGACCACTAGAGGCGGCAGAGTTGCTCAGGGAGAAACCGTGTGACATCGGCTAACTGATTTTTCTAGCCTCAGTTCTCTCATCTGCAGAACCAAGAGAATACCTACCATTCCATGTGATTATGACTGGTGGGACTGACACAGAGCAGTTCTATCAACGTTACTTGCATACCTCCGCGGCTCAGAGCAAGAGGGACAGGAAAGAGGACACGAACCTTCTCTGCAAAGGTGAAAATCTTCCTCTGATCAACGCCTCCAAATTGGGCATCTACTTTTAAATACTCTTCATCCAAAGCCTGTGGAAAGAAACACATGAGCATAAATACCAATTGCATTTCTTCTTTACGGGTCTGAGAAATCAGAAACTTTTGAAAATCACTAGATTTTTCAGAAAGTAGAGCTAGGAAAAAAATGGACTGCATTCAGCCTCCCTGCTGGCCTCAAGAGCTGCATGAACCGTTGCTGAGAGCCTACAGCGAGCATTACTGCATATGAAGTCACTGCGTAAAAACAAACAAGAGGGCAGCCTGGGCAGGCCTTGGGGTGCTGCAGGTTAAGCTGCTGCTTGGGACGCCTGTATCCACAGAGTGCCTAGGACCTAGTCCTGCCTCAGATCCAGTTTCCTGCTAATAAGCACACTGGGAGACAGCAGGTAATGGCTCAAGTATTTGGGTCCCTGCTAACTATGTGGGAGACCTGGATGGAATTCCTAACTCTTTTGGCCTGGCCAGCCCAAGCTGCTGAGGGATTGAACCAACAGATAGAAGATTTCTCTCTCTATTGTCCTCTCTTTCAAATAAAAACAAACAAGTATAAAAATAAGAAGTGTATTCTCCACCCTCAGGAATCTCATAATCCAGTGGGGAGGCAGCGCAGAGGGAGGGAGAAGTCATGTCACACAGAGCAGCCTGGGACAAGCACGTGGCATAAAAAGCAAGTCCTGGGCCAATGCTGTGGCACAGCTGGTTAAGTCGCCTGCAGCGCCAGCATCCAAGTATTTGGGCCCATGTTACTCATGCAGGGGACCCAGACAGAGTTTTAGGCTCCTGGCTTATCCTGTCTCATCCCTGGCTGTTGCTGCCATTTGGGAAGAAGATCCTTTTTTTTCTGTGTAACTCTGCCTTTCAAATAAATAAATAAATCTTAAAAAAAGTAAAAAAGTTAATGGAGCTCCCATATTATGAAAAACCTAAACATAAGCTGAATAATTTTTAAAATATATGTATTTCTAAAGATATATTTATTTGAAAGACAGAGTGACAGAAAGAAGAGAGGCAGAGAGAAAGAGATCTTCCATCTATTGGTTCACTTCCCAAATGGCTGCAACAGTTGGGGCCATGTCAGGCTGAAGCTAGGAGCCCAGAACTCCACCCAGGTCTCTCACATGGGCGCAGCGGCCCAAGGACTTGTGGCCAGCCTCGCTGCTTTCCCAGGTGCAATAGCAGGGAGCTGGATCAGAAGTGGAGCAGCCGGGACTTGAACCAGCTCCTATATGGGATGCTGGCATTGCATGCAGCAGCTTACCCTGCTGTGCCACAACGCTAGCCCCAATTACATATTTTTTTTTCCATCAAAATAAGCCTATCTTTTATTTCCATTTTCCTACAAACTTTGTGAAGTGCCCTCATATGTGAAATATGCTGTGTGCTTTATTTATTGAAAAATAGGATCATGCTTACTGTGTATTTTCACATATCACTCTGAATGTTATTTTCTTGAAGACGAACATAAAGGTGTGTAAGTTGAGCAATGTCCTCAAAGGACAGACAGCAGAGGAGGACAACTGAAGAGGTAAAAGAGCAGACACTGGGGTTGGGGATGGGGGGAGCAGGAGGAAGACAGAGAGGAAGCCTAGAGGCTGAAGAAACAGCCAGTGTGCGTCAGTTCAGCTGGGAGCACTCCATCCCCGCGGTACCTGCAGTCCAGGGTACAGCAGACCACTCAGCAGAGGGTGCTCCACCTGCTTTACCACCTCAGCTCCAGCTTTCTTGGCATCGTGCTGCGTGACCACCGAGGACAGTCTGTACACATCCAGTGTGTACTCTCTGAAGAGGGCAGAAAGGGGACGGCTGTAAGACGGAGCCAGGCCTCCACCGCTCGGGGAAGTCCTAACGCACATTAATTCACTGCTCCAGTCTAATTCAAGATTCCCAGACACCAGTGCCTGGAGCTTCCAAACCCTGAGAGCACAGAACCCAGAGGTTTCATTCCAAATAGCACTTTCTGTTGTGTTTTTCCGTATTTCTCTATCTTCCATGCCTTTTTTCAAAGTTAAATACAAAGCACAGCGTACCCGTCACAGAGTTCAAGAAAAGGCCTAACAGTTACTCCCGGAGCTCCGGAGGCCCCGCCACAGTCCTGTCCTACTTCCTCCTCCTTCAGACTAGCCCCCGGCCTGAACTTCTGCACTGCTTTCCACCTCTACATTACCCCTGCGTCTCTCAGCAACCAGGGCAAATATTCCCGTATGAGTGTCCTGGAACACAGGTGCAAGTTTCTCTATACGTACCTCGTAATAGAACTTTTAGATCACAGGGAATTTGCATCTTGAATTTTAAAGGATAATACCAATCTATTTTTAAAGCAGCGCGTACCAATCTTATTATTTAATTTTATCATTATTTAAAATTTTTGCCAATTTAGTGAGCATGGAAGGATTTCTCACTGTGGTTTTAATTTACATTTCTTTGAATAATAACCCAAGAAGTTAAACATCTTCCCATATCCTTATTGGTCATTTCTTCTGTGAAACACACACAGTCTTTCTTTTCTGGACTTGCTTTCTCAACAACTGATTCTGTAGTTGTTGAAATATATTAGATATGAATCCTTTGTCAGCTATATGTATTATAAATATATCTTATTCCAGTTTGTAGCTCCCCTTTTTGGTTAACTTTTGATAGACTGAAGTTTTTAATTTTAATGTGACCGAATTCAACAATCTTTTCCTGTGATTTCTGCTTTGTTTAATTTTTCCCACCATGAGACCATGAGATAGTCCTAAATACTACCTATATACTACTTTTTAGATGTTTTATAGTTTGGTTCTTACAATGAAATCTTTAATTCACTTGACATGGAAGAATTACTTTTTCCCCCACAGAGAAAATCAATTTTCTCTGAACCTATTTTTCTTTGTTTTTCTCTCTCTCTCTCTCTTTTTAAGATTTGCTTACTTGAAAGCTAGAGTGCTGGTTCACTCACCAAATAGTTGCAATGGCCAGGGCTTGTCCAGGCCAAAGCCAGGAGCCTGGAACTCCATCCAGGTCTCCCATGTGGGTGACAAAGGCCCAGGAACTTGGGCCATCCTCTGCTGGCTTCCCAGGAGTGTTAGCAGGGAGTGAAAGACCCAGGTCGCCGACTATCACTCCAACATGGGATGCCAGTCTTGCAAGTAGCAGCTTAACCTGCTGTTGCACACTGCTGGCTCCTCCATTTTTTCTTTCGAAGTTTATTTTTCTCTGCTGATCCTAACACCAGCTTTGTCATTGGTCAAGTTTTCAGATATGTGAGGATCAAGTCCTGAACTCTCCATTCTGTGTAAGTGGTTATTCATCCATTGCCATGCTAATTCTTATATGAATGACAAGCATTTTGGTACCCAGAATTCATAAGGATCTCCTAAAAAAGAGTGGACAACAGGCAAAAAACACTTGCAGACACTTCATAGAAGAGGAAACCCAAATCACCAACAAAAACATGAAATTGAGTTTTTTTCAGAGACAGGTATTTTATCTCTATATTTGAATGGTAATTTGGCTAGGTACAGAATTTTAGGCTGGAAATTTTTTTCATTTGCGATTTTAAGGTACTACTTCACTGCCTTCGGCTTTCAATGTTCCTTTTAAGAAATATGCAATTTTGATTCCTGACATTTTGTATGGAACTTTGTCCCTTTGGAAGTTCCTAGAATATTTTTGTTCCTGGAGATTTTTTTTTTTTAATTTTTATTTTTTGACAGGCAGAGTGGACAGTGAGAAAGAGACAGAGTGAAAGGTCTTCCTTCCAATGGTTCACCCCCAAATGGCCACTAAGGCCGGAGCACCACGTCAATCTGAAGCCTCCTCCCGGTCTCCCGTGGGGGTGCAGGGCCCAAGCACTTGGGCCATCCTCCACTGCACTCCCGGGCCACAGCAGAGAGCTGGACTGGAAGAGGGGCAACTGGGACAGAATCCGGCGCCCCAACCGGGACTAGAACCCGGGGTGCCAGTGCTGCAGGCGGAGGATTAGCCTAGTGAGCTGTGGCGCCAGCCGAGATCTTTTTTTGTGAGATTTATTTTAGGGACTGATACCGTTGCCGCAGTGGGTTGCAGTGCCAGCATCCCATTTGGGCACTGGTTCAAGTCCTAGCTGTTCCACTTCCAATCCAACTTCCTGCTAATACACCTGGGAAAGCAGCAGAAGATGGTCCAAGGCTTTGGGCCCCTGCATCTACCTGGGAGACCTGGAAGAAGCTCTTGGCTTTGGCCTGGCCCAGCCCTGGCTATTGTGGTCATCTTTTTTTTTTGAATATTTATTGTATTTATTTGAAAGGCTGAGTTATAGAGAGAGGGAGGGAGAGAAAGAAAAAGAGATTTCTTCCATCCACTGGTTCACTCCCCAAATGGCTGCAATGGCCAGAGCAGGGATGATTTGAAGCCAGGAGTTGGAAGATTCTTTTGGGTCTCCATGAGGGCAGAGGGGCCCAGGCACTTGGGTCATCTTCCATTGCCTTCCCAGGTGTATTAGCAGGGAGCTAGATTGGAAGTGGAATAGTGGGGACTTGAATTGGTGAACACAGGGGATGCTGGCGCCATAGGCAGCGGCTTAACTGCTCTGCCACAATGCTGAGCCCATCCCTGGAGTTTTAAAATCAGAAGAAAATGCACTTTAAAGTAGGTTTATATTCATGCATTGTTCTAGGCACTTCATAGGCCCTCTCCATCTGAAAACTCTTTTAACTGTCCTCAGACATCCTTAACTTATTTCATTCTTAATGTATATCATTGTTTATTTCCTCTCTGATTCTCTGTTCTTTTTTCTGGAACATTTATAATTCAAATATTGGACCTCCTAGCTAGTCCTCTAATTTTTTAAATCTTTTTTCCCATTTTGCCCTGAAAGGCCATGAAAAACCAAGTTCAAATTTAAGTTCATACAATTCAATGAGCTCCTTGAAGACGCAAGTAATCTTCAGTGTCCCACAAGTGAAGTCTACATTTTATGGACTTTTAAGATGCATTTTAGGGTGCCAGCGCACAGTGGGTTAAAGCCCTGGCCTGAAGTGCCAGCATTCCATATGGGCACCAATTCTAGTCCCGGCTGCTCCTCTTCCAATTCAGCTCTCTGCTGTGGCCTGGGAAAGCAGTAGAAAATGGCCCAAGTTCTTGGGCCTCTGCACCCATGTGGGAGACCTGGAAGAAGCTCCTGGCTTCGAATTGGGGCAGCTCCAGCTGTTGCAGCCAATTGGGGAGGGAACCAGCAGATGGAAGATCTCTCTCTCTCTGAATTTCCGTCTCTCTGTAATTCCATCTTTCAAATAAATAATCTTAACAAACAGAACAGATGCATTTTAGGGGGCTGGTACTATGGTGTAGTAGGCTAAGCCTCCGCCTGTAGCACCAACATCTCATATAGGCACCAGTTCATGTCCTGGCTGCTCCTCTTCTGGTCCAGCTCTCTGCTATGGCCTGGGAGAGCAGTAGAAGATGGACCAAGTGCTTGGGCCCCTGCACCTGCGTAGGAAACCCAGCAGAAGCTCCTGGCTCCTGGCTTCACAGTGGCCTACCTCTGGCTGTTGTGGCCATTTGGGGAGTGAACCAGTGGGTGGAAGACCTTTTTCTTTGTCTCTCCCTCTCTCAATCTGTAAGTCTACTTTACAAATAAATAAATAAAAGCTTTAAAAAACAAAAAATTTAACATCTCTGAGATCTAGGTGAGTCTTAGAAACAATGGCGCGTTATTGACTAATTAGTACTTTCAAAGATATTTTAGATTAACTGAAATATAGTCCTACTTTCTCTTTGTCTCTGACCACTTTTTTTTTTTTTAAAGATTTACTCATTTATTTGAAAGGGGGAGACACACACACACACAGAGATGAATGCTGTTTCATGCCCCAAATGGCCACAAGAGCTAGGGCTGGGCCTAGCTTTCTCAGGTGCCTTAGCAGGGAGCTGGATTGCTAGTGGAGCAGCTGGGCCTGTAATCAGCACCCTCATGGGATGCCAGTGTCACAGGTAGCTGCTTAAACCTACTGTACCACAATGCCAGCCCCAACTACTGGGTATTCTTGAGGAAACTTGTGAATACATTGCTATGTTTTGCTTTAAAATTTTTAAAATCTACCATTTTTAGTGGTTTTCAGTAAGAAAGTAGGTCGAAGTTCTTGGTTGGCCAGATTACTTTAAACAAAAGTCTTTATCTGTACCTTAACAACTCTTACTTTTTTTTTTTTGGTCCATCTCTCTGTCTTAGTACTCAAATCTCTGCTCTGCTCTGCTTGCTTGCTTGCTTGCTTGCTTTCCTCCCTTCCTCCCTCCCTCCCTTCTTTTCTCTCTCTCTCTCTTTCTTTCTCCCTCCCTCCCTCCTTCCTTCTCTCTCTCTCTCTCTCTCTCTCTCTCTCTTTCGACAGGCAGAGTTAGACAGGGAGGGAGAGAGAGAGAGAGAGAGAGAGAGAGAGAAAGGTCTTCCTTTTTCCATTGATTCACCCTCCAAGTGGCTGCCACGGCCGGCATGTTGCAGGCGAAGCCAGGAGCCACGTGCTTCCTCTTGGTCTCCCATGTGGGTGCAGGGCCCAAGGACCTGGGCCATCCTCCACTGCACTCCCGGGCCACAGCAGAGAGCTGGACTGGAAGAGGAGCAACCGGGACAGAATCCCGTGCCCCAACTGGGACTAGTGAGCCGCGGCACCAGCCAAATCTCTGCTTTTCAACTGTGTTCGCTTTACAGTTGATCCCATCTATTCAAGGTGGTTTTTTTCTTCTTTAATGACTGATATTTACCTTCCCAAGATGTCTAAATGGTTCTTTTTATTTCTAACTATTCATGTTTCATTTGTGCCTCTTTCTATGTCATGATTTACTCTTTTTAGTGGATGTTATTGCTTGGCATTTTAGCACTTACGTCTTAGTAACATCAGTGACATAGTAAGGGATGATTAAATTCTTGGTTTGCACATACTCCTGCTCCTAGGAGCCTGGTGCTTGATGGAAGTCCCTGAAGATCTGGGGGCTTGCCAGGGAGTGGGCACTGGAAAAGCCCCCACTCTAGTCTGTGGCTTTAAGCAGTCGGCCTGCTTTGTCCCCACTGCTCACTTCCAGAACAGAATCCACAGACTTAGAACTCCAGCCCGAGTCATCACTTTACATTTCTCTTACTACAGAGAGGTCCAGTTTGTTTTTGAATCTAGCTGGGCCCTTTGGTATTTTTATTGTTGTATTTTTACCTATCATTGCTGAGTTTGGAACAGAAAGAGTACATCAAAATGAGCAATACAAGTCCATCTTCCGTTAAAGTCACTTTTTTATCTAGAAAAATATCAAGTGATTTTGAAGGAAAATGGCTTTAATTTTTTCCATCTCCTCATTCCCCAATTTCTACTAAGTTCTAGGAGAATAAAAACTCTGCCAGTGTTATTCAGTTATAACACCAGTACCTAGAAGAGTGTCTGGTACATGGTAAGAACTCAATACAGTGCTCCTTCAGTATCCATGAGAAACTGCACCTCCCAGCCACAGATGCAGGAGTCTTCGATATGAAATGGCCTGGTATTGGCATATAGCCTATGCACATCCTCCCATACACTTTCAATCACCTCTGGATTACTTTAGTATTTGATATAATACACACACAATGTAATAATTGTTATGCTGCATTGTTTAGGGAATAACAACAAGGAGAAAAGTGTGTACATGTTAGTCCAGATTCAATCCCCCCCCCTAAATTTTTTGGATCCACAGTTAGTTGGGCCCAAAGGCTGACCACACAATATTTGCACGATCCACTTCCTTGCCTTTTTCCAGTTTCTGCCTATTGTTATCTTATCAGAGAAGTCTTCTGTAAGCACCCTATTTAAAAAGAAACCTCCACTCCCTGAGAACTTTCTCTCCCCAGCCTGCCTGCTTTGTGGCACCTATTACCATCTGACACACACAATATATTATTGCTCACGGTCTGCACTCCCTGTTGGAGAGGAAACCCTGCTGGGATAGGGACTTCTGTCTTAGTTTACTTCTACAAACCAGGGCCTAGACTAGTGCTTGCCACATAACAGGGGCTCCCTAAGTGTATGTAGATTAAATGCAAGCATGAATGAAATCTCAGGTACTCTACAGGAGCTGCAGATTTAAAGTTCTGAATACATGAAGATTAGCTGAAGTAAAAATGTGCATGCCTTTCTCATAAGCAAAAGAAATGGAGGCACATCCTGATTTGTCTACATACTAGATAAACAGATTTGGTTAAGTTATATCTGAATCTATTTCCTTATCTATGAGATAAGGAAACAATGCTTAAGTTTGTTGTGAAGGTTTAAGTGTAAAAGTGAAAAGTACAGTGATATTTAGTTAAAGTGACAAGCAGAGTGACATATGACATAGAGTAATAAAGTCTTATTTGAGAGACTTCAAAAAATCTTAACTGTAGAAATTATGAGGCAGCATGGGGGAATTCAGAAACAATAAGCTAAAAACAATACAAAATTATATCTATGTTAACATTATAAATACAAATAAAATTTACAAAGATAAGTAGCACTAAAAATTGTTGGGGAGGGTGACTGGCATTGAGGCATAGTGGGTTAAGCTGCCACCTGTGATGCCTGCATCCCACATGGGCACTGGTTCAAGTCCCAGCTGCTCCATTTCCCGTCCAGCTCCCTACTAATGCACCTGGGAAAGCAGCAGTAGATGGCCTAAGAGCTTGGACCCTTGCACCCTTATGGGAGACCTAGATGAAGCTTCTGACTCCTGTCTTAGGCCTGGCCCAGCCCTGGCCATTGACAGCAATTTAGGGAGTGAACCAGTGGATGGAAGACCTCTCTCTTTCTTAAACTCTGACTTTCAAATAAATACAATAAATCTTAAAGGGGAAGCTGGCATTCACCATCTCTTCCCACCATGTTCTGTGGACTCTGCAGGGCCAAAGCCTTTGCTCTGATTAGAGTTACATCTCCAGCCAACAGGGCAGCACCTAGGTATTTACCAGTCAGTACATTGTTGGTGGATGAATTAAAGAGACAAACGGTATACCTCTTAAAAATGGTTCTTAACATACTGTCAACAGCTTCTAATCCAAACTTAATGAGTTTCTGGACTCTGTAGGCCTATAATTAGCTGGAGGCACCAGAACCACAAGGAGGGTGGAAGATCAAGCACTTACTTGCTGAGCTGGTAATCAGTGCCTTTGACGAACTTGAGCTTCTCCAAGGGCACACCAATGCTCTCCAGCATTGCCTTGATCACATTCTCATAGTAACTAGTTCGGAGTTCTAGAAGTTCCCATGGGGCTTTCATGTTATCCAAGTATGCATGAAGATCCGCAAACAGAATTGTAACCTGGCCATAGGAGATAAGGGACCACCAAAACATGAACTTGTCCCAGTACCTCCAACCTACTTCCACCTCCCCACCCCCACCTCACCCTTGGGAAGCCTTCTTTTGGTCATTCCCCAAGGGCAGTCACTTGGTTTACAGCATTTGTTCTTACCTCACATCCCGCCTTCAAAAAGTCCGCAATCTTCGACATGGGCACAAAGTAAGCCACATGTGGCTTACCTGTGGTTGCCGTGCCCCAGTAAACCTTAAGTTCTCGCTCCTTCAGTATCTCCTTCAGCTTCTCTTCGCCCAGAACCTCCTGTGGCAGAAGCAGAAGAGCTGGTTGAATGCAGGTGCCCCACCTTGCTCATCCACTACCCTGTCACCTGGCTCAGAGCCAAGCAGGGAGAGCCAGCCACGTTCTCAGTGCTGAAAGCCAAGGTAGGGTTGGCGCTGCTGCTAGTGCTCCCAGGACTCCCAGGACATGCTCCAGGACATGGAGGTTAGGGGTGTGCGGGCACGGCCCTGTCCACAGCTGCCCCTCTAACCACTCCCTTGCCTTTCGCAGCCAACTTTTGAAAATAGTTGTTCTTTGTTCAGGTCTCATCTCCTATTCCACTCTGAGTTCTGTACCATATCGCACTGCTGAAGTCTGTGATCACACGCACTCTTACAAGATCACAGATGCCCTCTGCATTGCCAAGTTCCGGGAATACTCTTTAGTCCTCACTCCCTCCCTGAAGCACTCTCCTCCTTTATCATTATTATTTTTTGTCCTCTTTTCTCTTCTGGCTGCTTAGATTTTTTTCACAGCTGCTCTCGTTTTTCCTAATCATTAAATATTAGCAGTCCTCGGGGCTTTAGTCTTTTACTCTACGTGAGCTTTCTGAGGGTCCCTTGTCCAGAACTATGTACTTGTTATCAACCCAGTGTTTCAAACTCAACATGTTCAAATTAAACTCATGCTCTTGCCTTCCTCACCCACTCCTAACTACCTTCTCCACTCACAGTCTCACCCCTGGTTCACTAAGTGGTACTAATGGTATTCACCAAGTGCTTAAGTTACTCTGAATCAGCTTAAATCCTCCTACTTCTCTCTGCCTCTTCATTACCTCTTCACCATCATCCAGGCCTCTCAGACTGTTAGGCAGGAAGTTGGAAATCAGCCTGTGTGTGTGTGTGTGTGTGTGTGTGTGTGTGTGAGGGGTCTAAGGAAACAGCACCCACGGAAAGGAATGAGCAGACTCAGACGCACACCTTGGAAGCAGCCCAGTAGTTTACACTACAAAGTCCCACACCCCCATAACCATAGGTGGTCCCAACCTTGCCCCCAAGGAAGGTACCCCAGGAGAATCCTCTCTGTTCAGTGCCAAGGGGGCTACCCAGCCTGATACCACTGAGCAGTAAGACCCTGGGAGTCAGTTTGCCTGTTTCACACCTGGCAAACCCTGGAGGAGGTGGGGGGCGGGGACCGGAAGCCCCGGACTGAATACAGACTGTGCTCAGTCTCCCCTGGGACACTCGCCTCATCTTTCAGGTGCATTTCTCTCAGTTCTTTGCTGACGTCGGCCTGGCCTCTCAGATGTCTTCTTTCCATTAAACTATGTGATCTTGCCTACCCCAGTCTGAATGGCTGGGCACTCTCAGATTCTGTCTGGAGAGCTCCCATCTGTTCTCATGGAGGCCCCTGCCCCATTAAACTTTGCTACCTTGCTTCCCACTCCTGTCTCACACCTGAATTCTTTCCTGTGTGAAGACAAGAACCTCTGTTCCACCCATCTCTGCTAACAAGATCACACCAGGGTTAATGTAACACCTCCCAACAGGTCTCTTGCATCTATTCTTGCTTCTTCCAATCCATGTTCTAAGGGGTAGCCACAGAGATCTTTAAATTTCAATATTTGGGGACCAGTGTCATGGAACAGCAGGTTAAGCCGTGGCCTGCAATGCCAGCATCCCATAAAAATGCCTGTCCAAGTCCCAGCTGCTCCACTTCCCATCCAGCTCCCTGCTGTGCCCTGGGAAAGCAGCAGAGAATGGCCCAAATGCTTGGGCCCCTGCACCCACATGGGAGACCTGGAAGACACTCCTGGCTTCAGCCTGGCCCAGCCCTGGCTGTTGTAGCTATTTGGGGAGTGAACCCAAGGATGGAAGAGCTCTCTCTCTCTCTCACTCTGCTGTCCTCATCACTTCCAAATGAAATAAATCTTAAAAGAAGTATGAATTTTATAGTACGTGAACTATATCTCACAAACACAAAATAAGCAGTGGTCCAAGTGATGCTCTTTGAGTAAAACTCAATATTAAAGTGCTTTAAGATTTTATTTATTTATTTGAGAGATAGAGTTACAGAGAAAGGTCTTCCACCCGCTGGTTCACTCCCCAAATGGCCACAATGACCAGAGCCAAAGCCAGGAGCCAGGAGCTTCTTCCAGGTCTCCCGTGCAGGCGCAGGGGCCCAAGCACTTGGTTCATCTTCTACTGCTTTCCCAGGCCATAGCAGAGAGCTGGATCGGAAGTGGAGCAGCCAGGACAGGAACCGGTGCAATAAGGGATGCCGGTGTCACGGTGCAGAGGCTTAGCCTACTGTGCCACAGTGCCAGCCTCAATGTTAAAGGTTTTTGTCCTTCTGAATTTATTTGAAGACAGAGGGAAAGAGAGAGAGAGAGATCTCCCATGCACTGGCTCACTCTCCAAATGCCCACAACCACCAGCTCTGGGCCTGATCAAAGCTAGGAGTCTGGAATCCAATCTGGCAGGGACCTCCTGCTGGAGCCATCACCTGCTGCTCCCCAGAGTGTGCACTGTCGGGAAGCCGCTACGGGACCTGAACCCAGGACTTGAACCGAGGCATTCTATTGAGAGGAGCACGAGTCCCGAATGGTAGTTTAACTGCTGTGCCAAACGCCTGCCCCCAAGGCTCAATTTTAAACTGGCCTTGTAGAATAAAGCTTACAGGGCCCTTATGACTTGGTCCTTACGATCCTTCCTGAACACACAAGTAAAATGTAAAAAGTATATCAGTGTGTGTGTGAGAAGAGTTAGGGAGGAACAACAGAAAAAGGCGGAGCAGGGGCGGGAGAGTCAGGACGGGCGGGCGACTATTTAAGAAAAGCGCTTGGAGGGGTCTGCCTGATAATCCGAGGAGGCGAGGGAACTGAGCCCCGTGCTCACCCTCCCCTCCGGAGCTCGGCGCTACTGTTCCCTCTCTCTGAAATGCCCTTCCCCGCATCCTTCCGCTCGGCCTCCGGTTAAACCCTGCTCCCGCAGCAGCTGGCGACAGGAGGTGCAGCCTTCGGGGCTCAGTGGAGAGGTCGCTTCCTCGGGGGAGCCGTACCTCATTCCTTTCCAAAGCTCCCCGCACGGTCACCTCTAGTGCCTGCTTCCCCTGCAATGGTCTGGATTACGGGCCATTTTAAACGTCCGGTTCCCTCCCGACAAGCTCTGTGGGAGAGCAGGGCCCTGACGTCTCCCCAGCGCCTAGCACCGCACTTGGCACACAATAGGGTGGGTGGGGTGGCAGTCCTGGAGTCAAAGCCGGGCTCCAACGACGCGGCTGCTCACGAGAGCCCACCGTGATCTCTGTGGCACTCCGGGAATGGCTGAGTGATCAGCAGAGAGGACTCTCGGAGCTCCCCGGCGCGGAGTCCCTGTCCCCATGCACTTAGGATCCCAGTCTACGACGGCGCATTTCCAACCCCGAGGCCCAACCTGCAGGTTCCGGGTGATAAGGTGCAGCTTCTCTTCAGGACTTGGAGCATCCCCCATGGCTCAGCCACCCCTGCGTCTCGCGTTCAGCCTGGTACCCGCGCCTCCTCCTCGGTGGCCGCCGCGTGCCGGGAACTGTCACGCGAGTCCTGCCGGGTTGCGTCAGCTGAGCTCGTCGCTCGTCTTCCTAGGCCTGCACCTCTCTCTGCCCAGTAGCAACGAGGAAAGAGTCCGGAGCAGCGGAGAGTCGAGAGGGTCGATGAGGCGGGAAGGGGTGGAGCCAGGAAGCGGGGTGGGCGGTACGGAGGGCGTGGCCGCGTCGTCTGCGCAGGCGCAACTTTCTTAAAGGCGGGGCGGTTTCCTGCCAATCACCGTTTGCTCGCCCTCCCTCTGGAGTTGGCTGGGGGTGGGGGAGGTTGAGGAGGGGGCGATAAAATGGCGCAGGGGGCGGAGTGAGGCGCCGTCGTTTGCCCAGGCTGTGGCCCGTCTTCCGGAGGTGAAGCGCGGGAGGGACGAGGGGGTCGACGTTCCCAGGCTGGGCGGGGGATGGGGCGCCTGTTGCTTCTCCGAGGGGCTGCGCGCGCCGTCCGCCCCGTTTGAGGGAGAGAAGAGCTCGTTCTCGCTCCAGAGGTGATGGCGGGGAAATGTCCCTGCCCCCCGCCTCCACGTCTGCGTGCGAGCGAGTGGTGCCGCTCACCCTGCTGAGAGGAAAGGCTGTGTGGTGGTCCGAGAGGCGGGGAGCGGAGTCCGCTGTTTGCCCCGTAGGGCCCGGGGCCGGGGCTGCCCCAGCCCGCTCGGCGGGAGGGTGTTGCTAGGGAGGACCGAGCGCTGGCGCTGGGAGCGGACGACGCCCCCGGGCGGGCGGGGGGCGGGGGGCGGCCGAGGTGGGCGTTCTCGGCTTGGCGCCGCGCGGGCTCGCCCGGGTCCGACTTCGCCCCTGCCGGGGGAGGGGCGCGGAAAAGCCCGCGCGGCGCCCACCTTCGGCTCCGGCTCCGGCTCGGGCCGGGAATTCCGCTCTCCTCGGAGGGAGGAGGGACGTGCCGAGACCCTGCCCGGCGGCCGGTGCGGCCCCGCAGCCGGGGCCTTTCTGAGGCGGCTGGGCGGTACCCCTGGAAGGGGGCACCTGGGCCACCCGTTCCCCGAGGTCCTGCAGGCCTGCGGGCGCGGTGACCAGCTCGTTCCTGGGGAGGAGGTTGGCCCCGGAGAGGGCTGAGAAGTAATGAAATGGCCCACCGGCCGCCCTGACCTGATGTCCAGTTTGTTTCGGAGTTGTTAGGGGGCTCCACTTCAAAAGACTTTTTTTTTTTTTTTTTTTCCCGTGACAAACCTGTTGCGGCCGCTTAGTAATATCTGGTCCCCGTGCCCGTGCGGGAGGAGAGCCCTGGCAGCCCGATCCAATGAAACGTTACTTAGAGTTCCCGCCCGGCCCTGAGGTGTTTCCAGTTACTTCGGGGAGTGGTAGAGTCCTTACAGATGATCGCAGTTCACTCTGATTTTTCAAAACAAAATTGGTGCCCTTTGGATGGAGCGATCACTAAGCCAACTGAGTGCTTTTCGTGCTCCTGTGCTTCACGTGTGTTGCGTTTGGGAGATGCTGGAAATGGAAGGCCAGTGGGGCGGGAAAGAACCCTTGCCCGTGGCCATAGCTGTCCCATCCAGCTTGTTAATGGCCTTGATCTTGAAGCCTTAAGGATGTGGGCTTGAGCCTGAGGTAGCTGTTTGAGCGGCCTGAATAAGGCTTTTTGTGCTCTTAGGCAATGGGTTTTTTAAGGTATGATAAAAATAGACAGGAAACCAGTTTCTGAGGTTGCAACCAGGAGGTTAGAGAACAGAGGGGGTGGTAAACTGAAGTGCGAGGAAGGGGGTGGACAGGTGAGAGATGGGAAGGACAGAATAGGGTCACGGCAGGGGAGGGGAGCGACAGAATTAAGAGATGGGAAATGGGAAAAAATAATTTTCCTTTCAAAGTACAGGGGTCCCCGTAGTTTCTCCGAGCAAGTGCCAAGAAGGGTAGAATGGCAGAGCAGGAACTGAAGCTGCATTGTGGAACCTCACTAAAGGCCTCCAGTTTTATCAGAAGGTTTTTCCTCCCTTGCAACGTATCAACTTTCTTTGATAACAGCATTTTTAGATTTAGAGTGCTTTCCTAAATGACCCGCAGTTGAGCGTTATGAGAATCTCTGTATCTCCTTTTCTTTTTTAAGTATTTATTTATTTGAAAGGCAGACTTACAGAGAGGCAGAGAGAGAGAGAAAGAGATCTTCCCTCTGCTGGTTCTCTCCCCAAATGGCCACAATGGCCAGAGATGGGCCAATCCGGAGCCAGGAGCCAGAATCTTCCTCCGGGTCTCCCACATGGTTGCAGGGGCCCAAGCACTTGGATCATCCTCCACTGCTTTCCCAGGCCACAGCAGAGAGTTGGATCGGAAGTGGAACAGCCGGGACATGAAACAGCGTCCATATGGGATGCTGGCACTGCAGGCAGCAGCTTTACCCACTATGCCACAATGCCAGCCCCATCTGGTGTTCAGTTTAGTGACAATTTGGTTTAAAACTGAATTAAACTAGAAAAGAATAACATACTGGTTAATTTCTAAATAAGCAGGGTCTAGAGGAAGTTCTCTACCAGTTTACTGCTTCTTTTGTGAAAGAGTTATTTATTTGAATGGCAGAGTTACAGACAAGTGGGAGAGAGATCTTCCATCTGGTTCACTCCTCAAATGACCACAACTGTCTAGGCCAGGACCATGAACTCCATTTGGGTCTCCCACATGGGTGACAGGGGCCCAAGCACTTGGGCCATCTTCTGCTGCTTTTGCAGGTACATTAGCAGGGAGCTGGATCTGAAGTGGAACAGCCAGGACTTCAACTGGCACTCTTATGGGATGCAGCAGTCACAGGTGGGCAGCTCAACCTGCTGTGCCACAGTGCCACCCCCCACCATCCCTTTTTATCTTAGGTTGTCATATTTGTGTGCCAAGTATGTGCCATAATTGTCTTTCTATTGTTTATTAAGAAGTGAGACTTTACAGATAGAGGTGAAGCTACTCATGGCCACTTGCCATCCGCCACCACAGGTAACCACTGTCCTGAATTTGGCATTTCTCATTCCCATGCGTCGTCTTATAATTTTATGATATACATATATGAAATTGTTTACTTTAACAAATTGTGGGGTAGGGGAAAATAGGGAATCCATAGATTAAAATACAAGACATTGGCCAGTTATGTGGTATGGATCTTATTCAAATACTGACTTCTTTAAAGTTTGAAACAAATATGATATACATAGAAATTGGAACTGGGTATTTTATAAGGAATTCTTGTTTTTTACAGATGAAATGATGTGATGCCTGGAATTTGCTTCAAATTAACCCAGTATAGAGGGGAAGTGTTTGGGGCAAGATTAGCTATGGATTGATAGTTGTTGGGGTTGAGTGATGGGTATATAGCAGTTCATTATGTTACCTTATGTACATGTTTAAAATCTCTACAATTAAAATGTATTTTTGAAAATGAGGAAATACAAATGAGAATTATTTGTGCATGTTAAAAATCATGTCTATATTTGCATATATAAAAGGTCTTCAGAAAGTGCATGTAAAATGCACATTATGAGAAAACCATGGGAGCAAGCATTTAGTTTAGCATTTAAGATGTCTGTTCTTCACTGGAGTGCCTGGGTTCATTTCCCAGCTCTGGACCCTGGACCCTGGCTCCAGCTTCTTGCTAGTGCAGACCCTGGGGGCCAGTGGTGAAGGCTTAAGTAATCATGCTTCTGCCACCCATGTGGAAAATCTGGATTGTGTTCCTGGATTCTTGCTCTGGCTCCTACCCAGCCTGGCATTTGGTGAAGCAGCAGATGGGAGTATGCACTCACACCCTCACTCGATTGCTTACTCTCTCTCTGGCCTCTCAAATTTTTAAACAAAGTTTTTAGAATAGAATTTAAAGATTAGCTTGTTTTTTTTAAAAAAAGGGCGGGGGGAATGCATGGATTTCAAAATATTTTTTGCACCTAGATAAGCATGTCTTTTAATGCCACTGTTTCCCTGAACTTTTTGAAGTACCCTCACTTATGGTATTGTTTAGCATGCTTTTGCTATTGGGAGAGTCTATGAGAAAAACTCAGCGGAGCCAGCTCTGCCTCTGGATGTCGTAAGACTTAGGACTAGCAGTTGGTAAAGGATATTAGTCCTATGTGTGCAAGTAAAGTTTTATTTTCAGTGATGTTTGGTCACATTCAGGGATGTTTCTCAGTCCTTCCATTGCATCTGTGAGGCCAAGGGCAGTTTTATATGCATAATAAGGCAGCATTTTTCTAAGTTTTTTAGTATGTATATTGAACTTAGAAGACCTGAGTTTGGATACCAACTCAGCCATTTGCGAATTGACTTTGGGCAAGCCTATCACAACAGTGGTAAGCTCTTTTTATTTGATCGGCAGAGTGGACAGAGAGAGAGAGAGAGAGAGAGAGAGAGAGAGAGGTCTTCCTTTTTGCCGTTGGTTCACCCTCCAATGGCCGCCCCAGCCGGCGCGCTGAGGCCGGCGATCACGCTGATCCAAAGCCAGGAGCCAGGTGTTTTTCCTGGTCTCCCATGTGGGTGCAGGGCCCAAGGACTTGGGCCATCCTCCACTGCACTCCCTGGCCACAGCAGAGAGCTGGCCTGGAAGAGGGGCAACTGGGACAGAATCCGGCGCCCTGACTGGGACTAGAACCCAGTGTGCCAGTGCTGCAAGGCGGAGGATTAGCCTATTGAGCCATGGCACCGGCCATTGGTAAGCTCTTGTCCTGACTGTTGATGTACAATGTAATACTTTATCCATTTTAGTATTTTTTTTTTGTTCTAGTACTATTGGTTGAACTCTGTAATTAACACACAATTATTCTTAGGTGTTTAAATTTTAACTGAAAAGTGATCCCTGTTAGAAATTTGGAAAACATTATGCTGAGTGAAATAAGCCAATCCCAAAGGGACAAATATCATATGTTCTCCCTGATCTGTGACAACTAACCTAGCACCAAAAAGGAAACCTGTTAGTGAAATGAACACTATGAGAAATGGTGTCTTGATCAGCCCTTGCCCTGACTGTTGATGAACAACTTAATACGTTATCCCTCTTAGTATTTTTTTTGTTTGTTCTACTTAATACTTTTGGTTGAATACTGTAATCAATACACAGTTATTCTTTTTTTTTTTAAAGTTTTTTTTTTTTATTTTTTATTTTTGACAGGCAGAGTGGACAGTGAGAGAGAGAGACAAAGAGAAAGGTCTTCCTTTGCCGTTGATTCACCCTCCAATGGCCGCCATGGCTGGCGCGCTGCGGCTGGCACACCGCGCTGATCCGAAGGCAGGAGCCAGGTACTTCTCCTGGTCTCCCATGGGGTGCAGGGCCCAAGCACTGGACCATCCTCCACTGCACTCCCTGGCCACAGCAGAGAGCTGGCCTGGAAGAGGGGCAAGCGGAACAGAATCTGGCACCCCTACTGGGACTAGAACCCGGTGTGCCAGCGCCACTAGGTGGAGGATTAGCCTACTGAGCCGTGGCGCCGGCCAATACACAGTTATTCTTAACTGTTGAAACTTAACTGAAAAGTGATCGCTGTCAAAAATAAGAGTGGGAATAAGAGAGGGAAGAGATGTGCAATTTGGGACATGCTCAAGCTGACTTGCCCCAAACGGTAAAGTTAGAAACATACCAGGGGATTCCAGTTCAATCCCATCAAGGTGGCATGTACCAATGCCATCTCACTAGTCCAAGTGATCAATTTCTGTTCCCAATTGATCATAATGATAGGACTAAGAGCCAAAGGGATCACATAAACAAGACTAGTGTCTGCAAATACTAACTGATAGAATAAAAAAGGGAGAGAATGATCCAACATGGGAAGCGGGATACACAGCAGGCTCATAGAATGGCAGATGTCCTAAACAGCACTCTGGCCTCAGAATCAGCCCTTAAGGCATGTGGATCCAGCTGAAAAGCCCATGAGTATTTCAGGCATGGAAAGCCAAGACACTCTGGCAAAAAAAAAAAAAACCTAAATGAAAGATCTCCGCGAGTGAGATCCAAGTGGAAAGAAAAGGTCATCAAAGAAAGAGGTACCTTTCTCTGAAAGGAGGAGAGAACTTCCACTCTGACTACGACCTTGTCTAAATATGATCAGAGTCGGTGAACTCAAAAGGCTTCCATAGCCTTGGCAACTCATGACAAGAGCCTAGGTTGATTACTGATGCCATAAACAAGAGTGTCAATTTGTTAAGTCAACAGCAAGAGTCACTCTGCACTTACTCCTCATGTAGGATCTCTGTCCTTAATGTGCTGTACATTGTGATTTAATGCTATAACTAGTACTCAAACAGTATTTTTCACTTTGTGTTTCTATGTGGGTGCAAACTGTTGAAATCTTTATTTAATATATGCTAAACTGATCTATATATAAAGAGAATTGAAAATGAATCTTGAGGTGAATGGAAGGGGAGAGGGAGCGGGGAAGGGGATGGTTGCGGGTGGGAGGGAAGTTATGGGGGGAGGAAGCCATTGTAATCCATAGCTGTACTTTTGAAATTTATATTCATTAAATAAAAGTTAAAACAACAACAACAAAAAAACTGCCTTTGGAATTAGATTTGGATCCTTGTGCTAGAATTTTTAGCTACATGTAGTTGGTTAAGTTGCTTAATGCCTGTGAACTTCAGTTTTCCAAGAGTGAAAATCTATTTAGCTCTTTGTTGGACCAAGTATGTGCTTCATGCTTTTTGGAAGGAGTTGGGATGAGGTGGAGCAGTGGTTCAGAGAGTGCTTCTGAGGAATGTAGCTGCTTTCACCCTTTAGCGTGTGATATTTGTGCTTGACAACAGCAAAACTTTTAAGTAAAAGAAAAATTTTCCTGAAATAAACTTGTTTCTTACTGCTCCCTAAAAAAACAAAACAACATTTCACTCTATAAAATAACTTAGCCACTAGGGAGTGAAATTACTTTTCTTCTTGTGGAGAGACTTGCTTGTATTCCTGGAACTCGTTCACAAAAGTTGCTGGAATATTGGTGAAATCAGAAGTATTAAATGCTCTGTTTAGATATAATAGAAAACTTGATTTCCTTGATAAAGATAAATTTTACAGAGTTGTGTTGAGGGGTTAAATTAGAGTTATAAAATGTGTCTTATATTGCCTGTTTTATAATAGATAGTCATTATTTCTAATTCTAAAATTTTATAATCCCTCTTCTAACTCTAGTACTTTATTGTCCGTACTATTTTATATGGTCTTATGTTGGTGCTTAATTTTCAGTATTTTCTTCCTAGCAAGATTATACATTCTTTGAGGGTGGGAACCATGTTTTTATTTCTTAGGAAACAGACATATGTAGCTCAGTGCTTTGTGCTAATTGTTCAGAAAATGTTTTCTGAAAGTGTATGAACTGAAACTGAAACTCAAGGTGTGGTATAGATGGTATCGGAATAGGGAAAAATTTACAGTTAAAAGACTGTATAAGGAATTTTCCAAATTGTTAAGTTCAGTGCTTAAGTATTATCTCAGATGTGATAGGTGAAATACTAGATTTTTATCACCTTTCCCATCTGGCAAATGATGATAGATTAGATCTGTCATTAGCAATTAAAAAAACTGTATTTTAATTATAAAAATAAATACTCAAGTAGAAAAGTAAAATGATACTAACAATAGTCTTCCTTTGCCCTCTCCCCACAGGTCGTAATAGTCATTGATTTTTTTTTTTTTTTTAAGATTTATTTATTTATTTGAAAGGCAGAGTTACAGAGAGTGAGGGAGAGAGAGAGTGAGCGAGAGAGGTAACTTCCATCCGCTGGTTCACTCCAAGATGGCCACAACTGCCAGAGCTGGGCCAATCCGAAGCCAGGAGCTTCCTTCAGGTCTTCCTGGATGGAAGGGAGGATGCAGGGCCCCAAGGAGTTGGGCCATCTTCTACTGCTATCCTAGGCCATAGCAGAGAGCTGGATCAGAAGAGGAGCAGCTGGGACTCGAACCGGCACCCATGTGGGACTTTGGCACTGCAGGCAGAGGCTTTACCCAGTAGCCACAGCACTGGCCCCTAGTCATTGCTTTTTGTGTTTGTTATCTTTACAGATTTTTTTTTTTTTTGCATTTATAGTGGTATGGAAAATGAGATTTGTGTGTCTGTGGTCATGATTAATTTTTTAAGTTTTGTGGAATCTTAGACTTTGCCTAGTCCCCTTTCTCCATTGCTTTCCCATTTTATAAATGAGGAAACAAGTCCAAATGGTTAGGTGGCTTGCCTAAGTTATTAAGAGTCTGGTTAGTGACAGAACCAGGCCTGCCAACCCAGTGTTAATCCTACTAAAGCGAATGATGCACTTAAGAAAGTACAGATTGTTAGGAAGAATAAAACTAGTTCTTCTGTTGCATAATTTTTTTCTCTAAAGGTTTTTCTGTGGAGTACTTGACTCAAAAAATCCAAAAAGTCAAGCTCAAAATTAATAGATGGAGCACCTTAAGCATAATACAGTTGACTTTGTAATTAGCAGAGTTGAAAGTGATGAGAAGATCCTTTAATTTTCTTTGTGTCTGCAGGAAGGTGGGAGTCAATCATTTTGACAAGTCTCCTGAAAAGAACAGCTAGCAAAAGCGCAAACCTTTTCCATTTGGTCTCGTGGCAAAGGCAAAGATCTCTCCAGCAGCTCCACACAGTATGGAAAGCAATTGTTTATCTTACTGATTTTTTTTAACTTCAAAATAATACACATGTTTTTACATGATCTATATTTGTTTTGTTTGTGTGTTGTAGATATCGTTCCATGATGGTACATGTTTATTGTGTTTATTTTTAAAATATTTATTTGAGACAGAGAGATAGAGGGGCTCAGAAAGACAGTCTCCCATCCACTGGCTCACTTCTCAAATTCTCACAACAGCGAGGACTGAGCCAGGCCAAAGTGTGGAGCCTGGAACTCAGTCGAGGGCTTCCATGTGTCAGGGACCCAAGTACGTCAGTTACCACCTGCTGGCTCGTAAGATGTACATCAGCAGGAAGCTAGAATCAGATTTAGAGCCAGTACTTGAACCCAGTCACTGTGATATGGGATATGGGTGTCTTAACTGCTAGGCCAATGCCCATCCAATTCTATTTTATTTATTTATTTTTAAGATTTATTTTTATTTATTTGAGTTTCAGAGAGAGGTAGAGACAGAGAGGTCTTCCATCTGCTGGTTGACTCCCCAGATGGCTGCAGTGCCCCAAGCTGTGCTGATCCAAAGCCAGGAGCAAGGGCTGGCGCCATGGCTCACTAGGCTAATCCTCTGCCTTGCGGCGCCGGCACACCGGGTTCTAGTCCCGGTCGGGGCGCCGGATTCTGTCCCGGTTGCCCCTCTTCCATGCCAGCTCTCTGCTGTGGCCAGGGAGTGCAGTGGAGGATGGCCCAAGTCCTTGGGCCCTGCACCCACATGGGAGACCAGGATAAGCACCTGGCTCCTGCCTTCGGATCAGTGCACCTGCTGTGGCGGCCATTGGAGGGTGAACCAACAGCAAAAGGAAGACCTTTCTCTCTGTCTCTCTCTCTCACTGTCCACTCTGCCTGTCAAAAAAATAAATAAATAAATAAAATAAAAAAATAAAAGCCAGGAGCAAGGAGATTCTTCCAGGCCTCCCATGTGGCTGCAGGGGCAAAAGGACTTGGGCCATCTTCTGCTTTTCCAGGCCATAGCAGAGAGCTAGATCAGAAGTGGAGCAGTGGCGATTCGAACCAGCGCCCATATTGGATGCTGGCACTACAGGTGGTGACTTTACCTGCAGTACCACAGCACCAGCACTTCACTTCTCTTGATGATGGACTTAGGCTGATATAATTATTTGGTTTCTTTTGAATGACACTGCTTTAAATATCCTTGTATATATTTTTTTTTCTTTCTTTTTTTGACAGGCAGAGTGGACAGTGAGAGAGACACAGAGAGAAAGGTCTTCCTTTTGCCGTTGGTTCACCCTCCAATGGCCGCCACGGCTGGTGCGTTGTGGCTGGCGCACCGCGCTGATTCGAAGTTAGGAGCCAGGTGCTTCTGGTCTCCCATGGGTTGCAGGGCCCAAGTACTTGGGCCATCCTCCACTGCACTCCCTGGCCACAGCAGAGAGCTGGCCTGGAAGAGGGGCAACCGGGACTAGAACCCGGTGTGCCGGCGCCGCTAGGCGGAAGATTAGCCTACTGAGCCGCGACGCCAGCCATCCTTGTATATTTTTCTCAGTGCTTTTGTAATAGGTACTTCTATAGGGTAAATTTCCAGAAGTGAAATTCCTAGGGGACGGCACTGTGGTGCAGCAGGTTAACACCCTGGCCTGAAGAGTCGGCATTCCATTTGGGTACCAGTTCAAGACCTGGCTGCTCCACTTACAATTCAGCTCTCTGCTGTGGCTTGGGAAAGCAGTAGAAGATGGCCCAAGTCCTTGAGCCCCTGCACGCACGTGGGAGACCTGGAAGAAGCTCCTGGCTCCTGGCTTTGGATCAGCGCAACTCTGGCTGTTGCGGCTAATTAGGGAGTGAACCAGCAGATGGAAGTCCTCTATCTGCCTCTCCTCTCTCTGAGTAACTCTGACTTTCAAATAAATTAATAAATCTTAAGAAAAAAAGAAATTCCTGGATCAAATGATATGGCTAAATTCCTTTTCACAAAATTGTGCTGATTTGCAGTCTTGTTGACTGTGTGTATGAGTGCTTGTTTCTCCGCATCCTTACCAACCTGTCTTACCATGTAATAATTTTTACTGTTTTAACAGAAAAAGTATTTCATTGTTTTACCATGTAATTCCATAATCTGATAAGATTAACTATTTTTGAATTATTTCTCTTATTATAAGTCATAATGCAAAGTTTTGAGCATAGGGTACCACCTTGAAGTGATATGAGATTATCTTGAAAAATTTGTGGAAATGAAGCTGGTGTTGTGTTGTGGTGCAGCAAATCAAGCCACTGTTTTCCACACTAGCATCCTACATCAGAGTGCTTCTGGGTCTCCCACATGGGTGCAGGGGCCCAAGGACTTGGGCCATCTTTTGCTTTCTCAGGCCATAGCAGAGAGCTGGATTGGAAGAGGAGCAGCCAGGACTAGAACTGGCGCCCATATGCGATGCCAGTGCTTCAGGACAGGACCTTAACCTGCTGCACCACAGTGCCGGCCCTGGATGCAGTTCTTGGCTCCTGGCCCAGCCTTGGCAGTTACGGCCATTTGAGGAGTGAAGATCTCTCTCGGTCTTTCCTTCTCATCACTGCCTTTCAAATCAATGACTCAGTCAGTGAGTCTTTAAAAAAAAAGTTTGTGGAAATGAAGTTGAAAATTTATTTTGGTGCAAAATATATTTGAAATCCATGCATATTTTTTCATAGTACACATTTTCCACAAGATTTTAAAATACTGTCATATAAAATGGTTTGAAGTTGGTATAAAGTTTTCGTTTTCTTTCAGTGAAAGTTCCTCTTGTTTTTCCAGATATGGCATGCTCACTAATGCCCTCTGAACAGTCTTCTGGGACCTCTTTCTTGCATAAAGATAATGCCTCATTTTCTTGGAGTTCCTTGGATGAAGAAGAATTAGATGATTCCTTGCTGGAGCTATCGGATGGAGAAGAAGATGATGGCCATTTCAGCTACACAGAGGAGGAGATCCAGGAGCTTTTGAAAGATGATGACCCATCAGATGTGTGTGGAGAAGGGTTGTATAAAGATGATGGTGGACATGTTGAGAACGGAGGGAAAGGGAATCAGATTCTACCTGATACTCCACAAGAGAAAAATTCAAATTCATTGTGCAGCTTGGGACCAGTAACTGAGACCCCTGGCCTCTTTAAACTACCTCAACTAAATACATCAGTTGGTCATGGGCCAACTCCTGCTAAACCTTTAAACAGACGTTTTGCACTAGAAAAGAATCTCATAAAAGTAACTATTGTTGCACCATTTAATCCAGCTGCGTGTGATACTGTGCGTGAAAAGAAAAAAGTTAATTCATCCAAAGAGACCGAAAAGCCCTCCCCCACTGGGGAAGAAATGAGAAATGGTCTTACCCCAAATGAGGGTGAAGCTTGCACTGAATCTGAAGGGATCAGCCCCAGTAATTCTTCCTGGGAACAGCCTCAGCTGTCTTCCAACAGTAACGTTCAACTAACTGTCTCTGGTAAAAATCTGCCTGATTGTAAGAAACCCACACCTGTATTCTCTCAGCTCTCAGACCACCCAGAGACTCCTAACGCGGAGTCACCCTGGAGAAATGGCGGATCACATAGATCAAGTTGTGAAGTGAAGTTTTCAGTTTCCAGTTCACCAAACAAAGTAAGTGCATTTTTTTCAAGTTGAAAAGAAAACGGAAATTATTTTCATTCAGAAGCTGTATAAATAAGTTCCCATACACCCCCTACCTTTATACATACACAGCCTCTCCTGTGATATAGACATCCTGTACCACCAGTCTAGCAGAGCTTTGTGTCCAGACAAATTTCAGTTTGGGTCCTGAGAGACACTGGATCAGTTATGTAGCCTCTATGCCCTCTTCAGATTTCTTACCTGTAAATCAGAGTATAATATATTTTTACAATATAATAAGAATGAAATAATGTATTTGTAGTACTTGGTATATCTTACTCAGTTATGATTTATTGAATAAGGTGATGATTTTATTATTTCTGCTTTCTTTGAGTTTCAGACTAAGTCTTCATCCTTGGTTGGCATGCTTATTAGATATAACTCTATATCTGAGTGAACCACTGAAGAGCTAAGAATCTTGAGCAATTTTCCTAACCTTTTTGGCCCTGATTGCCTATCTGCCGAATAAGTGCCATATACCACTTAGAATTTCTTTTTCTTTTTTTTTTTTTTTTTTTGTTTTTCCCCAAAGATTGTAGTTGCTATCATTTAAAGCACTATTAATAGTGCATGGGGGCCGGCGCCGCGGCTCACTAGGCTAATCCTCCGCCTAGCGGCACCGGCACACCGGGTTCTAGTCCCGGTCGGGGCGCCGGATTCTGTCCTGGTTGCCCCTCTTCCAGGCCAGCTCTCTGCTGTGGCCAGGGAGTGCAGTGGAGGATGGCCCAGGTGCTTGGGCCCTGCACCCCATGGGAGACCAGGAAAAGCACCTGGCTCCTGGCTCCTGCCATCGGATCAGCGCGGTGCGCCGGCCGCGGCGGCCATTGGAGGGTGAACCAACGGCAAAAAGAAGACCTTTCTCTCTGTCTCTCTCTCTCATTGTCCACTCTGCCTGTCAAAAAAAAAAAAAAAAAAAAAAAAAAAAAAGTGCATGGGACACAGTGGAGTTCAAGGATATGTGTTCAAGGGCATGCCTTTATAGTCTTTGGTTTAAAAATATTTTCATAAATAGTGTTTTCTTGTAGCTAAGAATTATCTTTTGCATTCCTTCTATTTTGGCAAAAAATAGGATGTTTTTGACAAGGATTCTGGGAAGATGAAAGTCCATGAGAAAAGACTAGGCAAAGTCATTCCTGTTCTACAAACCAAAACCAGGTAACATAACTGTAATTTAATATTCTGATTTCTGTTGATTGTCTTCAAATTCTTTTTTCCCCTCCCCAATTTCCCCTTAATGCAGGAAAAAAAATCCTGAAATTTTGGCACTACCAACCGTATGATCTTAGCAAATCGAATGATCTCTCTGTTCAGTTTCTACACCAGTAAAATATGGCTAATTATCCCTTCTCTGCTGCCTCCTTAGGTTATTTTAAAAGTAAAAAAGACAGGGCCAGTGTTGGCATAGCCAGTAAAAACACTGCCTGCAATGACAGCATCCCATATGTGCACAGGTTTGAGTCTTGGCTGCTCCACTTCAATACAGATCGCTGCTAATGGCCTAGGAAAAGCAGCTAAAGATGACCCAAGTGCTTGGGCCCCTGCCACACATATGGGAGACCTGGATACAGCTCTTGGTTCTTGGCTTTGGCCTGGCTTAGTCTTGGCCATTGTGAGCATCTGGGGAGTGAAATAGTGGATGGAAGATATTCATTCTCTGTCTCTCTCTCTCCTGCTGTCTGTAACTCTGACTTCCAAATAATTTTTTTAAAAAGTTAAAGATGTACTAGGAATCCTCAAAAAAAATTATGCACAGATTTCAAAAAATTTTTTGTACCAAACAAAACTTTACCTATTTTGATTCTGTTTTCTCAACTTTTTTTTTTTTAAAACAATTTTTAAATTAAGATATACTTATTTGGGGCCAACGCTGTGGTGTAGCAGGTAAAGCCACCACCTGCAGTGCTGGCATTCCATATGGGCACCAGTTTGAGTCCTGTCTGCCTCACTTCTGATCCAGCTCACTGCTATTGCCTGGGAGGGCAATGGAGGATGGCCTGGGTCCTTGAGCCCTTACACCCACATGGGAGACCCAGAGGAAGCTCCAGCTGTTGTGGCCAATTGGGAAGTGAACCAGTGATAGAGGACCTCTCTCTCTCTGCCTCTCTTCTCTGTATAACTCTGACTTTCAAGTGAATAAATAAATCTTTAAAAAAAAAAAAAAAAAGGTTGGCGCCGCTTCTAGTCCTGGTCGGGGTGCCGGATTCTGTCCCGGTTGCTCCTCTTCTTTTCTAGCTCTCTGCTATGGCCCGGGAATGCAGTGGAGGATGGCCCAAATGCTTGGGCCCTGCCACCCGCATGGGAGACCAGGAGAAACACCTGGCTCCTGGCTACGGATCAGTGCAGTGCGCCAGCTGCAGCGGCCATTGTGGGGTGAACCAACGGAAAAAGGAAGATCTTTCTCTCTGTCTCTCTTTCTCTCGCTGTCCACTCTGCCTGTCAAAAATAAAAAATAAAAAATAAAAAAAGATACACTTCTTATCTTTTGAAAGGCAAAGTGATAGAGACAGAGAGAACTTCCCTACTCTGGTTCATTCTCCAAATGCCAGCAGCCAGGGGTGGGCCAGGCTGAAGCAAGGATCCAGGAATTCCAACCAGGTCTCCCACATGGGTGGCAGGGACCCAGGCAGTTGGACTATCATCTACTGCCTTCCCAGGCAAATTAGCAGGGAGCTGGATCTGAATCAGAGTAGCCAAGACTTGAACTGGGTCTCAAATAAGGAATGCCAGAGTCCCAAGTGGTGATTCAACCTGCAGCACCACAACACTGACCCCTTCTCAATAACTTTTTGAAGTACTTTGTTAATATCTCTCCCCTGTGTATAGGAATCTGGTCATGTATATGATGGAAAGTTAGAATAGTTTTTAACAAAAAGGTTTAAGCATAATTATGTAGAAAATCAACTAATCTCTCTGAACTTGCACACGGTTGTCCTTGGGGGAAAATTCTTATAAGGGTGGCAGATTTGGGTCACCTTTCAGTTTATTCTCTTCTTTCCAGGAGATGGCAGTCTGTACATGGGCTTTTTCAATTGAATGCTCTAGACAAACTTTTAGATTGAGTCAGATTAGCATCCTTACAATAGAATTTAAAATTTTTTTGATTGTTCAATTTTATGCATTATTTTAAATTATTCTGCTTTAAAAGTTTTAAATATTACAAATAAGGCTAAAGTCTGCTTTTTATATCACCCATAATCACATTTTTTTTGAAGATTTATTTATTTGAAAGGCAGAGTTACAGAGAGGAAGAGAGAGAGCGAGGTCGTCCATCTGCTGGTTCACTCCCCAAATGGCCGCAATGGCCAGAACTGGGCCGCTCAAAAGCCAGGAGCCTGGAGCCTGGAGCTTCTTCAGGTCTGCCAAGTGGGTGCAGGTGCCTAAGGACTTGGGCCATCCTCCACTGCTTTCCTAGACCATAGCAGAAATCTGAATTGGAAGTGGAGCAGCTAGGACTCAAACTGGTGCTCATATGGGATGCTGGCATTAAAGGTGGTGGCTTTATCACTTTGCCATAGTGCTGGCCCCATCCAATTTTTTAAAATTCTTGTTTTCCTGACATAAATAGGAAAACATTGTGAAATGCTTACAATGGGAATTATACCAAAGAACACAAGTCTCTACTTGGAACAGTAATAAACGTATGATCTCAATATTCTCATCTGCCGACTCTTAAGTACAATGCAGTCAGTGAAAGCAAGAGCCAAAAATTGCTCTTGCCAAGGTCCCCGTAGCCCTAATAGCCAGGTTTAGCTGTATCTTTTCCATCTTTATCTCATATACCTTTTCTGTGGCTCTGTGAAGCTATTTCTTAACTAACCTTGAATTACTCAATGAAAGCTTTCTTTATCTAGCAACTAGATAATCTTTGCCTTCCTTGTTAGCAGGAAATTTATACCTATTTCTTCTTTTCTGCTTTGTTTCCATTCTAATCTTGATTTTAACTTCATATTTATATGATAACATTGTCTTTTGTCACTGATCTTAAATTTTTCCAAATAACTTATTTGGAATACACAGAGAGGCAGAAAGAGTGAGAGATCTTCATCTGCTGGGTCCTTCCCAGATGCCCACAACAGCCAGGGCTGGGCCAGGCAAAAACCTGGAACTCAAAACTCCATCTGAGGCCGGCGCCGCGGCTCACTAGGCTAATCCTCCGCCTAGCGGCGCCGGCACACCGGGTTCTAGTCCCGGTTGGGGCGCCGGATTCTGTCCCGGTTGCCCCTCTTCCAGGCCAGCCCTCTGCTGTGGCCAGGGAATGCAGTGGAGGATGGCCCAGGTGCTTGGGCCCTGCACCCCATGGGAGACCAGGAAAAGCACCTGGCTCCTGGCTCCTGCCATCGGATCAGCGCGGTGCGCCGGCCGCAGCGCGCCGACCGCAGCGGCCATTGGAGGGTGAACCAACGGCAAAAGGAAGACCTTTCTCTCTGTCTCTCTCTCTCACTGTCCACTCTGCCTGTCAAAAAAAAAAAAAAAAACTCCATCTGGGTTTCCTATGTGGATGACAGGGATCCAGCAACTTGAGCCATTGCCTGTTGCCTCCCAAGATACTCATTAGTAATAAACTAGAATCAGAAGTGGAGCTGGGACTCCAATCCAGGCACCTCAGTGTGTGATGTAAGCATCCCAAGCAGGATCTTAACCACTTCACCAAATTGTTCCTTCCAGTCACTGGGACTTAAAGAGAATTTTGCCCCTGAAAGTTAGTTGTTCTAACCAATCAACAGTATATGTCTTTTTTCTAAAAAACACTATACTCATGGTTCTAACGGACTGTTTTCCTCCTCCTGGTTTGCTTTGTTCAAGGACTAATGTTTCGACGTTTTCACAATCAGATCTAGAACAGCAGAAGCAGATTTATCTCAGGAGGGTCATTGCTCATATACAAGATCCAGTGGACTCTAACCAAGGTAACGTGCTAACCAAATACCCACAAATAAAACATGGGGTGGGGCTCTTTCTTTCCAACAGAATGCATTTTAAACTGGGACATTGTTTTGAATTTTCTTAAATTGATGAGAAAGAAAATTTTCTTACCCAAAGACTCAAAGGATTGCCTAACCAGATAATCCCCAAAGAGGTTTGGTTAACCAGTATTAGAGAAGGATCTAAGCAAGCTCATTAGTACTGTACATGAAGAATGTTTCTTCATGGGAAGAAAGTGGGACTTTTGTGAGGAACCTCACAAAGGTTCATGGAAAATGCATAGTATGGAAAAACTATTCATGGAGTTCAAAAAAATTTTACATCAAAATAAACTTATTTTTAATCCCTTTTTCGGTGAACTTTTTTTTTTTAAGGTACCCTCATACTTTTTTTGTTAGGGATTTTCTTCTTTGAAAAATACAAGTGGCTGACCAAGTGCAGCTTACTAATTATTGAGTCTTTTTTAGAAATTATTTTCCCATTGCCTTCAACATTTTTTTAAAAGATTTATTATTTGCTTATTTGAAAGGCAGATTTAGAGAGGAGAGACAGAGAGAGAGAAAGAGAGACAGAGATCTTCCATCCTTTGCTTCACTCCCAAAATGGCCACAACAGCTAAGACAGAAGCCATGAGGTGGAAGCTTCATCTGGGTCTCCTACGTGGGTGGCAGGGGCCCAAATACCTGGGCCATCTTCCAGTGCTTTCCCAGGTGCATTAGCAGGGAGCTGAATCTGGTGCACATATGGGATGCTGGCTTTGTAGGCTGTGGCTTCATCTGCTGCCCCGTGATGTGCATCCCTTCTTCAGCATAAAATGTAAAAAATTGCTTTTCAAATACCATCCTGCATTTTGTCCTCTGGATAAAAACTCTTGGAAGATTAGACTAACTTCTAGATCCTTTAAGCTGAGTTCTCTCTACTTCATTAGAAGCTATTGCAAACCAAAGTAGATAGACTTCTTTTTCCAGCACTCAAGACACTGCAGTTCATATTATCATTCAGTTTGAACTGTTGATGGCTAATAGGAAAATTCCTAAAGGGACATTTGTGAGCAGAATTAAAAATGCAGAGGTTAGAGAGGTTTCATACTACTGAAGGAATTCCTTCTCAAAAACACCCCAAATTTGTCATCTTTAGTTTCTTTCCCTGTTTGTTCTGCACATTTTTGAGTACTTTCAGTAGAGCTGGGTTTAAAGATTAGCAACTGGAAACAAAGAGCAGAAAGTGCAGCAGGAACAAGGAAGGAACTCTTCTGTTGATGCTTAGAGAGTAGAGATGGGGAAGGGGGGTTGCCTTAGGTAGACTCCACAGGGAAGATAGTTTAGTTACTCTAAGATATTTTGAAAATCACTAGAAAGGATTTTAAGGAAATTTTCCATCCTGCAAAAAAGATTGCCCTCTTGACAAGTCTTGAATTATTTAGTAGGATTTTTTTTTTTACTTGTTTTATAAAGCTGTGAGTGAAAGGTTAAAAACTCTGAGACATCTGTCAGAAGAATTTTTGTTCTGGGTTCTATTAATTTTTACTTAAGAGTTCCTTTTTTTTTTTTGGACAGGCATAGTTAGTGAGAGAGGAGAGAACGGTCTTCCTTCTGTTGGTTCACCCCCAAATGGCTGCTACGGCCGGTGCGCTGTGCTGATCCGAAGCCAGGAGCCAGGTGCTTCCTCCTGGTCTCCCATGCGGGTGCAGGGCCCAAGCACTTGGGCCATCCTCCACTGCCTTCCTGGGCCACAGCAGAGAGCTGGACTGGAAGAGGAGCAACTGGGACTAGAACCTGGTGCCCATATGGGATGCCGGTGCCAAAGGCGGAGGATTAGCCAAGTGAGCCACGGCGCCAGCCCCAATTTCCTTAAGCAATCAAATATTATTCATACTGATTTCTCACCTCTCTGCTTGTGCAATGTTTTTCTTGAATTATTTTAGGTCGAGTGGAAGTAGAGATGCTGCCCTGTAGCGTGTCATGGGGCTGGGGACAGAGGGTGGATTTAAAAGCAGTTTGTCTGTATTCAGGGTCTGTGCAAGAGGCCTGCTCATTGTTTCCCCCTCTGTGAGGTGACTGTCTTATATCCTAGGCGCTTGACATTGATGATTTCCAATTATGTTTTCTTTTTTCATTCGAGGCATTTAAAGCAAGTTTCACAAGAAAAGCAATGAGTAGCTGCTCATTTTATAACATATTTTCCATGTTTTTCATTATTCAGCAATCTGTACCCAATGTTATAAAAATCTCTGTCCCAATATTCAGGGAACAGCTGGAATAGCTTAATATAGTAAAAAGATAGCATACTTCAGCGGTGAGGATGATAAGTACAAATTTAAGTACCATGCATGGAACCATATGTCACTCTAGAAACTAACATTTATTAAATACTTACCATTAGTAGCAAGGAAATACTAACTTTCACACTGAAATATTTTTAAGATTTATTTATTTACTTGAAAGGCAGTTACAGAGAGGCAGAGAGAGAGAGAATCTATCTGGTTCACTCCCCAAATGGCAGAGATGGCTGGAGCTGGGCTGAACTGAAGCCAGGAGCTTCTGCCCTGTCTTCCCACATGGATGCAGGGCCCAAGGACTTGGGCCATCGTCTGCTGCTTTCCCAGGCCATAGCAGAGAAGTGGGATCAGAAGTGGAGCAGGTGGGACTTGAACCGGTGCCCATATGGGATGCCAGTGCTGCAGGGCGGCAGCTTTTACCCACTTTGTCACAGCGCTGGTCCCTATTTTTAACTTTTAAAATTTATTTGAGGGGCTGGCGCTGTAGCACAGCAGGTTAACGCCCTGGCCTGCAGTGCCGCATCCCATATGGGTGCTGGTTGGCGTCCTGGCTGCTCTGTTTCCAATCCAGCTTTCTGCTATGGCCTGGGTAAGCAGCAAAAGATGGCCCTAGTGCTTGGGCCCCTGCACCTGCATGGGAGACCTGGAAGAAGCTTCTGGCTCCTGGCTTCAGATTGGCTCAGCTCTGGCCATTGCGGTCATTTGGGGAGTGAACCAGCAGATGGAAGACCTCTCTCGCTCTACCTCTCTCTGTAACTCTTTCAAATAAATAAAATTAAAAAAAAAATTACTTGAAAGGTGGAAAACAGAAGTCTTCATACTGCTGGTTCACTCCCCAAATGCCCACAATGGCTAGGGCTGGGGCAGGCAAAGCCAGGAGCCTGGAATTTAATTCAGGTCTCCTCTGTGGGTGGCAGGAACCCAAGTACATGAGCTGTCATCTGCTGCCTCCCTGGGTAAGCATTAGCAGGAAGCAGGGTTAGGAATCAAACCTAGGCACTCCAGTACTGGATGGAGGCATCTCAATCACTGTGCCAAATGCCCACCCCTGCCAAAAGGGTTTTTAATAACATTTACAAAGAAATACCAATCATTTCCTTCCGGGCAGTCCCCACTGATAGAAAATATTATATGGAATTAAAAGATTTTTTTAGAGATTTGTTTATTTGAAAGGTAGAGACAGAGGCAGAGAGTTCTTCCATCTTCGGTTCACTCCCCAAATGGCTGCAATGGCTAGAACTGGGCTGATCAGGAACCAAGAGCTTCCTCCTGGTCCACCATATGGGTGCTAGGGGCTCAAGGACTTGGACCGTCTTCCGCTGCTTTCCCTGGCACAATAGCAAGGAGTTGGGTTGGAAGTGGAGCAGCCAGGATTTGAACTGGTGCCCATATGGGATGCTGGCACGGCAGGCAGCAGCTTTACCTACTATGCCACAGCGCTGGCCCCTGGAATTATAAATTCTTAGAGCAGAAAAGGACCATTACTGTCTTCTCTTTAATCTCCTAACACATGAATTTGTTTGATATATTTTTGCCAAATGGCCATTTGGGCTTTGCTTATAGTTCTGTTAATGGAATATTAATTACCATGAGGCAGGCCATTCATTCATTGCTTAGAAAACTAATTGTTGGAAAATTATTCCTTACATTGAGTCAGTTTTGGCTTCCCTGTAATTTCTGGTGGTAGTTTAGTCCTGCCCACTAGGATCACAACAAAATTTGTTCTTTCAGATATTAGAAAAAATGATTTTTCCTTAATAAAAAGAAAATAAATTAAAATCACCTATATTCCAGCTACTTTTTTTTTTTTTTTTTTTTTTTTTTGACAGGCAGAGTGGACAGTGAGAGAGAGAGACAGAGAGAAAGGTCTTCCTTTGCTGTTGGTTCACCCTCCAATGGCCGCCGCGGCCGGCGCACTGCGGCCGGCGCACCGCGCTGATCCGATGCTGATCAGGAGCCAGGTGCTTCTCCTGGTCTCCCATGAGGGTGCAGGGCCCAACACTTGGGCCATCCTCCACTGCACTCCCGGGCCATAGCAGAGAGCTGGCCTGGAAGAGGGGCAATCGGGACAGAATCTGGCGCCCCGACTGGGACTAGAACCCGGTGTGCTGGCGCCGCAAGGCAGAGGATTAGCCTATTGAGCCACGGCGCCGGCCTCACTTATGATTTCAGTGGTTGCAAAGTTCTCTTAATTTATTCCATCTGGATAATTAGGTTGTGTCCATTTTCATTACTAATGCTGCAGTGAACATTCTGGTTAATAAATGTTTATGTACAACTCTTATTTCTATAGGATGATTGCCTCGAAGTAGAATCGCTGGGTAAAGTATGTAAATATTTTAAATCACCTGCTCCAGGTCTTTCTATTTTTTTAGTTTCATTATGACTCCCTAAAGTTTTGAAAGTATATTATATTGGGGCTGGCGCTGTGGCGAAACGGGTAAAGCTGCCACCTGCAGTGCCAAATCCATATGGGCGCCGGTTCTAGTCCCAGCTGCTTCACTTCACTTCGGATCTGGCTCTCTGCTATGGCCTGGGAAAGCAGAAGATGGCCCAAGTCCTTGGGCCCCTGCACCTGGTGGGACATCTGGAAGAAGCCCCTGGCTTTGGATTGGCACATCCAGAAGAAGCTCCTGGCTCCTGGCTTTAGATCAGCATAGCTCCAGTCATTGGCGGCCAACTAGGGAGTGAGCCAGGGGATGGAAGACTCTCTCTCTCTCTCTGCCTCTCTCTAACTCTGCCTTTTAAATAAATAAATCTTTAAAGAAAATGTATATTATAGTTGGGGCCGGCGTTGTGGCATAGTGGGCTAAGCCTCCACCTGCAATGCCAGCATCCCATATGGGTACCGGTTCATGTCCTGGCTGCTCCTCTTTTGATCCCGCTTTCTGTTATGGCCTGGAAAAGCAGTAGAAAATGGCCCAAGTGCTTGGATCCCTGTACCCTGGTGGAAGACCCAGAAGAAGCCCTTGGCTTTGGATTGGCTCAACTCTGGCTGTTGTTGCCATTTGGGGAATGAACCAGCAGATAGAAGACTTTTCTCTCTAACTCTCTCAAAATAAATAAATTTTTTTAAGAAGTATATTGTAGTCAACTGTAGTTGCTGTTATTTGGGGTGCTCGGTTTAACTCAGATTTGACTGGGTATTAGTTTCTTCAAGCTGGTTCTCATTCCTTTTGAAATTACTTCATTAATCTTAATTATAGTAAAACTATAAAATTTACCATTTTTAAATGTATAGTTTAGAGGGCATTGTGGCACAGCTAGTTAAACCATTGCTTGCAATGCTGGCATCCTACATCAGAGTGCTGGTTTGAGCCCTGGCTCTTTGACTTGCTTGCTTTTTTTTTTTTTTTTTTTAAAGGATTTATTTAAAAGAATTATAGGGAGACAGAGATCTTCCATCCACTGGCTCATTCCCTAAGTGGCTGCAGTGGCTAGGGCTGGACCAGACCAGAGCCAAGAACTTCATCCAGGTCTCCCACATGGGTGCAGGGGTCCAAGCCCTTGGGACATCCTGTGCTGCTTCCCTAGGTGCAGTAGAGAGCAGGATTGGAAGTGGAGATTCCCCAGGTGCATTAGCAGGGAGCTGTGTCAGAAGTGGAGCAGGGGCCGGCACTGTGGCACAGTGGGTTTATGCCCTGGCCTGAAGCACTGGCATCCCATATGGGCGCCAGTTCCAGTCCCGGCTGTTCCACTTCCAATCCAGCTCTCTGCTGTGGCCTGGGATAGCAGTAGAAGATGGCCCAAGTCCTTGGGCCCCTGGACCCACGTGGGAGACCCGGAAGAAGCTCCTGGCTTCAGATTGGCACAGTTCCAGCTGTTGCGGCCAGTTGGGGAATGAATCATCGGATGGAAGACCTCTCTGCCTCTCCTCTCTCTGTGTAACTCTGACTCTCAAGTAAAATAAATAAATCTTAAAAAAAAAAAAAAATGGAGCAGCCTACTCAACTGGTGTCCATATGGGATGCTGGAGTCACAGGCGGCAGCTTAATCCTCCATGCTATAAGGCTTGCACATCTATTCTGCTTTCAGTGCACCTAGGAAGACAGCAGAGATTGGCCTAAGTACTTGGGCTCTTGCAACCCCTGAGGGAAACCCAAATGGAGTTCTGGGCTTGGCTTTAGTCTGGACCATCCTTAGCTATTGAAAGAGAGTGAACTGGGGGCCAGCAATATGGCACAGTGGGTAAAAACCCCTGGCCTGCAGCACTGGCATCCCATGTGGGTGCTGGTTTGAGTCCCAGCTGCTCCTCTTCTGATGCAGCTCTCTGCTATGGCCTGGAAAAGCATCAGAAGATGGCTCCCTACACCCAGAAAAGGCTCATATATTTTTTTTAAAGATTCATTTATTTGAATGCAGTGTTATAGAGAGGCAGAGAGAGGTCTTCCATCTGCTAGCTTGCTTCCCAGATGGTTGAAATGGCCGGAGCTGTGCTGATCTGAAGCCAGGAGCCAGGAGCTTCTTCCAGGTCTCTCACGCAGGTACAGGGGCCCAAGAACTTGAGCCATCTTCCACTGCTTTCCCAGGCCATAGCAGAGAGCTGGATTGGAAGTGGAGCAGCCGGGACTTGAACTGGCGCCCACATGGGATGTCAGCACTGCAGGTGGTGGCTTTACCTGGCATGTCACAGCACCAGCCCCAATAAATCTTTTTTTAAAAAAATAAAATAAGTGAACTAACAAGTGGAAGATCTCTGTCTCTTCCTCTTTCTGTATCAGTCTGCTAGTCAAATAAGTAAATCTTAAAAAGTATAGTTCAAGGGGCCAGCGCTGAGATGTAGCAGGTGAAACCGTTTTTCCGGTCCCAAACCAGGAACCAGGAACTTCACTCAGGGCTTCTACATGGGTGGCAGGGGCCCAAATACTTGGGCCATCTTCTGCCTTTCCAGGTGCATCAACAGGGAGCTGGATGGAAAGCAAAGCAGCTGGGACATGAACTGTAGCCCGTGTGGGATGCTGGCATCGCAGGCAACCAGCTTAACCTGTGAAGCCAGAACACTGGCCCCTCTGCAGAAATTTCTCATCATATAGTTCTGAAACTATATGCATTGGGGCCGATACTGTGGCGCAGCAGGTTAATGCCCTGACCTGAAGTGCCGGCATCCCATATGGGTGCCTGTTCGAGACCCGGCTGCTCCACTTCCTATCCAGCTCTCTGCTGTGGCCTGGGAAAGCAGTAGAAGATGACCCAAGTCCTTGGGCCCCTGCACCCTTGTGGGAGACCTGGAGGAAGCTCCTGGTTTCTAGCTTTGGATCAGCACAACTCCGTTGCGGCCATCTGGGGAGTGAACCAGCGGAGGGAAGACCTCTCATTCTCTCTGCCTCTCCTCTATGTAATTCTGACTTTCAAATAAATCTTAAAAAAAAAAACTACATGCATTAAACATTTCCCATTCTTCCCTTCCCCTAGTTCCTGTAAACTACCATTCCACTTCTGTTTGTTTTGGATTTATTTAGTTATTTTAAATGCAGAGAGAAAGAGAGAGATTGACTGGTTCTCTCCCCAAATGACTGCAAAGGGTGGAGCTTGTCTTTCCTGAAGCCAGGAGCTGGGAACCTACATTCCTGTCTCCCATGTGGGTGTAGGGGCCCAAGGACTTGGGCCATCCTCCGCTGCCTTTCCAGGCACATTAGCAGGGAGCTGGATCAGAGGTGGAACAGTGGGGACTCGAACTGACCCCCTATTTAATCTTAGAACTTAATCTTCCTCTACCCTCACAAATGCTGAAACACACTCTGTATTCTGTCATGTCTTATTTTCTGGAGACCCTCTTGCTTGACCCTCTGTTCTGCTGTAGTCTGCAGGGCTTGTACTCTAGCCTTGCTTAGAGAGTCCTAGCATTTATTTCCCTTTGCTGTCCTCCTGCCCTGAATTCTGTTTTCTGGAGCCCCTATTTTTCCTCTCTTGTTCTTTGGTTTCAGTAGAATATATCCTCTAAGAATTTCTAAGGAAGAAAGCATAGGAGATTCATTTTTGGGGTCTCTACATATTTAAAAACCTTTTTATTCTATCTTCCTATCTGGTTGATATTTGGTATAGAGTTATAAATTGAAAACCATTTTTTTTTTCATAATTCTTAAGGCATACATTCATTGTTGCTGTTAAAAAGGCTATTATCAGAGTGGGCATTGTTGGACAGTGGATTAAGTTGCTGCTTGTGACGTCCTATATCCCATGTCCTAGTGCCATTTGAGTCCTGACCACCCTGCTTCCCATCCAGCTTCCTGCTGTTGCATCCTGGGAAGCAGTGATGGTGGCTCAAGGTCTTGGGCCCCTTCCACCTTTATGGGAGACCCAGATGGAATTCTTGCCTCTTGGCTTTGTCCTGTTCCAGCCTGGTTATTGCAGATATTTAGGGAGGTGAACTAGCCGATGGAATATCTCTTTCTCATTCTATCCACTTTGCCTTTCAAGTAGTAAATCTTTAAGAAAAATAAGAAACATTTTTTAAAAGCTAATCAGTTTAATTCCTTTGTGTGTGACTTAACCTTTTCCTCTCTGAAAATATCTGTGTTCTTTTTATCTACTGTATTCTAAAATTTTGTAGTGATTATTGAGATGTGTTGACATGGTCTTTTTTCCCCCTATTGCATTCCTTATTTTAGAAATTCAGTGGGCCTTTTAACCTGCAAAACGTAGTCTTTAGTTGGGAAGTTGTTTTTTTTTTGTTGTTGTTGTTGTTTTTTATAGTTTTTCTTCCTCTTTCCATTATCTGTTCTCTTTCAGGAACTCCTAATAGATACTGAACCTTCAAGGATTGATGTTCTGAGTCTCTTTCCATCTTTGTTCTGCCTATTCACTCTGGGATGTTTTCTCAACTATATCTTTTTATCCTTTTATTGACTTCTTTATTTCCCTATTTATGTTTATACTTTCCAAAAGTTCTTTGTTGTTTTATTCCGTTTTCATAGCATTTTATGGATGAATTTATCATTTTCTGACGATATCTCTTCTTTTTGAATTATAATTGAAGTACAGCGTACATTTTCATGTGCTTGTTTGTCATCTCTATATATGTTTTTAAAGTTTTATTTATCTGAAAGAGTAACAGAGGGAGAGGTTTTGCATTCGTTGGTTGACTCCTCAAATGCCTACAAAAACCACAACTGGTCCAGGCCAAAGCCAAGCCTGGAACTCTATCTAGCTCTCCCATGTGGGTGGCAGGAACCCAAGTACTTGGGCCATCATTTTCTGTATCCCAGGATCATTTGTAGGAAGCTGGATTGAAAGTGGAGATGAGACTTGATCTGATACGGGATGAAGGCATACCAAGTGGTGACTTAACCCACTGTGTCACAACACCTGAGCTCTTTTGTTGTTATTAGCACCAGCTTTAGCTTGTCAATTCAAGTATACCTGCTGGGTATTTAATTGGAATTGTTGCCGGCGCCGCGGCTCACTAGGCTAATCCTCTGCCTTGCGGCACCGGCACACCGGGTTCTAGTCCCGGTCGGGGCGCCGGATTCTGTCCCGGTTGCCCCTCTTCCAGGCCAGCTCTCTGCTGTGGCCAGGGAGTGCAGTGGAGGATGGCCCAGGTGCTTGGGCCCTGCACCCCATGGGAGACCAGGAAAAGCACCTGGCTCCTGGCTCCTGCCATCGGATCAGCGCGGTGCGCCGGCCACAGCGCGCCGGCCACGGCGGCCATTGGAGGGTGAACCAACGGCAAAGGAAGACCTTTCTCTCTGTCTCTCTCTCTCTCACTGTCCACTCTGCCTGTCAAAAAAAAAAAAAAAAAAAAATGGAATTGTTATAGCTTATATTTTAAAGATCTTATACATGTTCTCTTAAATTCATTAATTAAGTACAAGGGTACCTTAACATAAAGTTCATGGAAAATGGAATTTAAAGATACATTTGGATGCTGGTGTTGTGGTACAATGTGTAAAGCTGCTGCTTGCAATACCAGCATCCCATGTTGGAATCCCAGCTACTCTGTGTCTAATCCAACTCCTTGCTGATGTCCTGGGAAGGTAGCCGATGATGGCCCAAGTACTAGAGCCCCTGTCATTCTTGTGGGATATATCAGGATAGAGTTCCTGGCTCCTGGCTTTGTCCTGGCCCACTCCTGGCTATTACGGACATTTGTAGAGTGAACTAGGGGATGAAAGATCTGTCTCTTGCTTTTTCTTTCAAATAAATACATCGTCAGGTCTGGTGTTGTGCCCACAGTGCCGGCATCACATGTGGGTGCTGGTTCAAGTCCTAGCTGCTCCACTTCTGATCCAGCTCTCTGCTGGTGCACCTCTGAGGGCAGTGGAGGACAGCCTGGGTGCTTGGGCCCCTGCACCCATGTGAGAGACTGAAGAAACGCCTGGCCTCAGCCTGGCCCAGCCCCAGATGGTTGCAGCCAGCTAGGGAGTGAGCCAGTGGATGGAATACCTCTCTCCATCCCTCCTTTTCTCTCTTTCTCTAGCTCTAACTTTCAAATAAATAAGTCTTATTTTAAAATTAAATACTTCATCAAACTTTTTTTAAATAATAAATTTGTTTAGGTTCAAAAATTTTGAAATCCCCGCATAATTTTTTCATAATACACATTTTATTATGAGCTTTTTAAATACCCCTCATATGTATGGATTTCAAAGTTTTTTGTGCTAAGATAAACTGAATTCCATTTTTACACAAACATTTGGAAATAACCCTCATTTTATGTTATTGTAAATGGTAGACTTTTATGTTTTAATTTCCAGTCGGCATATAGAAAACAAGTGATTTTATATTTTGATATTGTATCGTACAAACCATGCTAAATTTTGCTAACATTTTAATGGATTCCTTAGAACTTGTTGTGTTACATGGTAATATTATCTGCAAATAAAGACAACATTTCTTTCCAACTTATGAGCATTTCCTTTCTTCCCATGTTGCACTGACTGGAACTTTTAGTATGTTAGTAGCTGTATATTTATCATAGATGTCCTTTATCAGTTTGAGAAAGTTCTCATATTCAAAGTTTTGGTGAGAGTTTTTCTCATGAATGAGTGGTGAATCTTACCAAATGGTTTTTCTGCATTTATTTAGAATATCATATAGTGTTTTTCCTTTGTACTTGGTTGCATTCTATTTTTAAATTTTTACTTGTTAGTCCAACTTCTATTTCTAGGATAAATTCATTTGGTCTTGGTGAATTATTCCTTAATAATTTGTAATACTTTTTTTTTAGGATTTTTATTTATTTATTTGAAAGAGTTCCAGAGAGGCAGAGAGAGAGAGAGAGGGAGGGAGGGAGAGGGAGAGGGAGAGAGGGAGAGAGAGGTCGTCCATCTGCTGGTTCACTCCCAAAATGGCTGCAATGGCCGGAACTAAACCCATCCAAAGCCAGGAGCCAGGAGCCTCTTTCAGGTTTCCCACGAGGGTGGAGGAACCCAAAGACTTGGGCCATCTTCTGCTGCTTTCCCAGGCACATTAGTAGGGAGCTGGATTGGAAGTAGAGCAACCAGGACTCGAACTGATGCCCATATGGGATGCCAGCACTGCAACCCACTGTGCCATAGCACTGGCCCTTACTCTTTAATTTTTAATGTTGGTCATTGTGCCTTTGTTTTCTTGAACATTATATCTAAAAATTTATCAATTTTAGTGACCCCCTCACTCCCCCCAAGTAAGTTTTTAGTCATATTTTTATATTAGTTGTGGCCATCATGTTTTCTGTTTCATTGATATTTTTCACTTTGTTTTTTCTTTTCTTTCACTTTTTTTTGAGTTTAATTTGCTTTTGTTTTCTAGATTTTTTTAAAAAAAGGATGTATTATTTATTTATTTGAAAATCAGAGCAAAACAGAGATCTTCATTTACTGGTTCACTTCCCAGATGTCTGCAATGGCTAGGTCTGGGCCAGGCCAAACCCAGGAGCCAGGAACCCCTTCCTGGTCTCCATATGTGGTGGAGGCACAAGTACTTGGGCCATCTTCCATTGCCTTCCCAGACACATTAGCAGGGAACTGGGTTAGAAGCAGAGCAGCTGGGACTCTAACTAGTGGCCATATGTGATGCTGGTGGTGCAAGCTTTGGCTTAATCCACTATACCACAGTGCTGGGCCCTAGCTTTCTTTTGTTTTGACTTATGTTTGCATTTTTTTCTTTCTTTGACTTTTCTTTCTTTTTTAAAGATTTTTATTTATGTTTGAAGGGCAGAGAGAGGGAGAGGCAGAGAGAGAGAGGTCTTCCATCCGCTGGTTCATTCCCCAAATGGCTGCCAGTGGCTGTAGCTGAGCCGATCTGAAGTCAGGAGCCAGGAGATTCTTTTGGGTCTCCCACGTGGGTGCAGGGGCCCAAGGACTTGCACCATCTTCTGCTTTCCCAGGCCATAGCAGAGAGCTGGATCGGAAATGGAGCAGCCGGGACTCGAACCTGAGCCCATATGGGATTCCAGCACTGCAGGCGGAGTCTTAGACCACTGTGCCTCAGTCCCGCATCTCTTCTTTTGACTTTTATTTTTAAAAGATTTAATTATTTATTTGAAAGTCAGAGTTACACAGAGAGAGAAGGGGAGGCAGAGAGGTCTTCCATTCACTGGTTCACTCCCCAATTGGCCACAATGACCAGAGCTGTGCTGATCCAAAGCCAGGAGCAAGGAGCTTCCTCCGGGTCTCCCACATGGGTGCAGGGACCCAAGCATTTGGGCCATCTTCTGCTGCTTACCCAGGCCATAGCAAAGAGCTGGATTGGAAGTGGAACAGCCGGGATTCGAACCGGCACCTATGTGGGATGCCAGCACTGCAGGTAGTGGCTTTACTTGGTAAGCCACAGCGCCGGCTCCTTCCTTTGACTTTTGACTTACCTTTGTCTATGTGCTTGACGCAATGTCTGTAGACAGCTTATAGTTGAATCTTGCTTTTGTCCCCCCAGCCTCACAATCAGTTTCACATTTGGTTGTATTAAATCTACCATCTTGATGCTTATTTCAATTTGTATAACAAGCTCATTGCCTATTAACATAAGTAACATATTATAAGTAACTCTGCTTTTATATTAGTATATTTATTACACATAGCTATCTACCTAAACAAAGCACATTTATGAAAAGGTGACACTCTTTAATATATGGCTTTATTGGAGACTACTGGATTCTCTTTTTGTGATTGTGAATTTGATAATCTGTCACCTAGCCTCTAGAAAGCTCTACCATGCACCTGTGAGAGAATATAAATGAAAAAGCCAAATAACGGGGCCGGTGCATGGCGTAGCAGGTAAAGCTGCCTCCTGCAGTGCTGGCATCCCATATGGGCACTGGTTCGAGTCTCGGCTGCTCTGCTTCTGATCCAGCTCTCTATGCTGTGGCCTGGGAAAGCAGTGGAAGATGGCCCAAGTCCTTGGACCCCTGCCTCCGCGTGGGAGACCCAAAATAAGCTCCTGGCTCCTGGCTTCAGATTGGTGCAGCTTCAGCTGTTGTGGCCAATTGGAGAGTGAACCAGAGGATGGAAGACTTTCTCTCTCTGCCTCTCCTCTCTCTGTGTAACTCTGATTTTCAAATAAAGAAATCTTTAAAAAAGCCAAATAACATGTTAGTGTTATGAAAATAATTTTGACCTAGTAAAGCCTCAAAAGGGTCTTGAAAATCCCAGGGATCCTTGAACACACTTTGAGAGCTATTGCTCTGTAGTTTACAAGTAATGTATCATTTATATTTATCCTGGCAGCACACATTTCCAGGGGCCTATGTTGTGGTGTGGTGGGTTAAGTCGCCACTTGGGATGCCAGCGTCTCCTATTGGAATGCAGGTTTGGGTCCCAACTACTCTGCTTCTAAACCTGGGAAGGCAGCAAGGCAGCAGAAGGTGGACCAAGAACTTGGGCCTCTGCCACCCATGTGGGAGGTGAGGAAGGGATTCCTGGCTCCTGGATTTGGCCTGGCCTACACCTGGTTGTTATAACCATTCGAGGAGTGAAGATCTTTGTTTCGCTGTCTTTGTCACTCTACCTTTCAAATAAATAAAAATTTAAAAAATTAGACACTTCCAAGTCTCCCTCCTTCTGTGTGTGCTTTTGTTTTATATATAAACCATGTTATACATTATTATTTTTGCCTTAGTCAATTATCTCTTTAAAGAGATTCTAAAAATGAGAATAATAAGTCTTTTATATTTGCTCATGTAGTTAACATTTCTAGTGCTCTTTATTTTTTTGAAAGACAAGGAGACACAGAGATCTACCATATGTTGATTTACTTCCCACATGCCAGAGACAGCCTGAGGCCAAGCCAGGCTGATGCCAGGAGCCCGGAACTCAATGTGGGTCTCCAACATGGCTGACAGGAACCAACTCACTTGAGCCATCAGCTGTTGCCTCCAGTTGTATGCCTTAGCAGGAAGCTGGAATCGAGAGTAGAGCCAAGATCTGAACTCGGGCCTGTGATACGTGACACAGGCATCCCCAGCAGTGTCTTAACTGCTGTACCAAGTACCTTCCCTAGTGCTGCTGCTTCCTTTCTATAGATAAAGGTTTCCATCTGGTATTATTTTTCTTTTTCCTGATGAACATCTTTTAATATTTCTCATAGTACAGATCTGCTGGTGGTGAAGCCTCTGGTTATTTAGGAAGTGTTTGTTTTGCCTTCATTTTAGGAAAAAAAAGTTTTATCTGTTTGAAAAACAGAGACCAACAGACAGATCTCACACTACTAGTTCACTTCCCAAAAGCCCACAGCTGCCAGGGCTGGGCTAGGCTAAAATGAGGAACCAGGAACTCAATCCAGGTCTCCCGTGTGGGTGGCAGGAGCCCAACTACATGAGCCATCACTGCTGCCTCCCAAGGTCCACACCAGCAGAAAGCTGTAATCAGAGCAGAGCCAGGACTCAAATCCAGGGACTCCAAAATAAGATGTGGATGTCCCAGGTGGTGTCCTAACTTCTAGGCCAGACTCCTGCCCCTGCCTTTTTAAAAAGCAGTCCGATGTGGCATAGTGGGTTAAGCCTTTACCTGGAAAGCTGGCATCCCATATAGGCACCAGTTGAAACCTTGCTGCTCCGCTTTTGATCCAGCTCCCTGCTAAAGGCTTGGGAAAAGCAGCGGAAGGTGGCCCAAGTGTGTGGGCCCCTGCAGGCCATGTGAGACCCAGAAGAAGCTCCTGGCTCCTAGCTTTGGCCTAGCCCAGCCCTGGCCATTGTGGCCACCTGAGAAGTAATCAGATGGAAGAGCTCGCTCGTTCTCTCTGTTTCTCCATCTCTCTCTCTGACTTTCAAATAAATAAATCTTTTAAAAATAATAGAAAAGATATTTTAAAAAGCTTTTTTTGGACAATTAGATTCATAACAAGTTTCCGGCCTCAGCTTAGTTGATCCCTTCTGGAGCCGCAGTTCTGATCAGTCTCAAGGCAGTTTTATAGATTTTTTCATATATTTTTGCCCAGCTTCTAGTTGCTCACAGTAGGAGGCAAAGTCCCCCATCCATCTTGAAGATTTTATTTATTTGACAGAGTTACAGACAGAAAGAGAGAGAAAGGTCTTGCTTCCATTCTTTCCCCAAATGGCCACAACAGCTGGAGCTGTGCCAATCCGAAGCCAGGAGCCAGGTGCTTCCTCCTGGTCTCCCATGTGGGTGCAGGGGCCCAAGCACTTGGGCCATCCTCCACTGCCTTCCCGGGCCACAGCAGAGAGCTGGCCTGGAAGAAGAGCAACTGGGACTAGAACTGGCGCCCATAAATTCTACAAATTTTAATTCTGCCTTTACCAAGACTGTTGGTATTTGTGTGTCAATCAGAAACCCATGTAAAATCACTTCAAAGATGAGTTATATAATAATTGCTTCTTTTAAAAGCTTTTTGCCTTGTCTATGAGGAAATTCAATTAAGATTTGTACTAGATTATTGCAGTTTTGTTGACTTAGAAGTGACACATGCATTCCTGTTTCTTACATTTTTTTTGTTCTTATTTTGGTAATCTGTTTAATAAAAGCAGTAGTCCATGGCTCCTGCATCACATTTTTCCTTTCCTCTTCCCTTTATTCAGTCTTCTTAGACTGAATGAAACAAAGTATGATTGCTTTAAAATTTTTTTTTAATTTATTTTTATTTTCTTTGGAAGGCAGAGAGACAGAGGTCTTCTATCCTCTGATTCACTCCCCAAATACCCACAACAGCCAGTGCTGGACCAGACTGAAGACAGGAGCCAGAAATTCATTCTAGGTCTCCCATGTATGTAGCAGGGACCCAAGCATTTGAACCATCATCTGCTGCCTTCCCAGGATGCACTTTAGCAGGAAGTTGGGTTGGAAGTAGAAGAGCTGGGCCTCAAACTAGGCACTCTGATATAGGATGTGGGCATCCCGAATGAGGACTCCAGTGCTGTGCTGAGCACCTGCCCCCCTAAGATTGCTTTCAAGTAACTCAGTTTCAGGATTTACAGAAGAGGTTGAATATTAGACCCTCAACAACATCACAAGGCCTCATTGTGAAAAGAATCAGCCATAGAGCCAAGTACCATACTTCTCGGGAGAGGGTGCCTTTGTTCATATTCAGATTTTCTCTGACCAGTATTTCTTCTACCTATTGCTGGTGACTGTTCTCTCTCAGAACTTTGCCTGTGCTGTTCTCTCTGATTCCCATTATTACAGCTCATATTCACATTTTAAAGGAGAGTATCTGATTAATTTAATGACCCATTTGTGACAGAACACTTTGTAGACCTCAGCCAGCCAAGAGATTCTCTGTGGTACAAAATATGGTAACCTAGAAAGCCTGTCAGAATTGGCATAGCAGGCACTCGGGATTCTCCATTCTCTCCTCTACTGTGACACAACAATTGATTCACTTCTGATTCTTTAAGGATAGTTGTTCCCCTCGATGTTCCCCAAAACCAGCCAGCTCATATTTATAGATTATTATTTAGATGGATTACAGATCCCATTCCTGAAGTTAATTTTTTTTTCTCCTGATTTTGTTCTTAGATAAAAAACAAAGGACAGTCTTCACCACCTTTTAGCCACAACTTAAAATAAACCCATGATACTGATTGTGGGTCCAAGAAAGCCCATCTGTTAGAGACTGTGAAGAGAAGAAAAAATTGAAATGTTTCCATTCTTGTTAGCATCTCTAAATTTGGAGGAAGAGGTTGAAGTTATGAGCTAAAATAAGATTTTTGGGTTAGTAGCTCCACCTGAGTTTGAGTCCTGGCACATTAGCTCCCATAATCTTTAGACTACTAAATCTTAAAATTTTATTAGTAATAAGGTAACCCTACTCTGACACAGTAAGTCCTCCCTCCTTCCCTCCCTCCCTCCCTCCCTTCCTCCCTTCCTCCCTTCCTTCCTTCTACAGACAGCACAGGAGGACATTAGCCCATGCACACAACAGCCCAGGGTCACAGCAGTTCTGTGCTTGTAGGCAGTTCTGGCAGGCAAAGGCTGTTACTACAGAGCTTTCCTAGGGGGCTGGGCACCTTTGGGAGGAGCCTGAGCTGGAACTGGTGCTCTGCATGCAGCCTGGGACTTGTTTGAGCCTTGGCCTTGGCCTTCATTTGAGGCTCAGTCTTGGCCTTTGTCTTGGTCTTTATCCAGGATAGCCTAAGACCTTGGTAACGTGGGCATTCACACGCTTCCCAAGCTTGGGGTGGGTGATGTAGGCAAGTTAGTCGAGCTTGCAGCTGACACCCTTTGGGATCCTAGGGCCTTGATAGCTTCAGCACATGCATTCATAGCCGTGGCGTTGTTGGCATGTATCATCTTCAGGCTTTCTTTTGCTGCTTGGCAAAACACATCTTCCTCAGGAACTTGGGGTCCACCCCTTTAAGAAATTCATATCTTTGTGATTGGGGTTTCTCGATTACATTTCTGTGCCGTTTTCGGGACTGGTTGTTGTTGGTGTGGTTCTTGGACTTAGCCATATCTGTATTGTAACCTGCGGCTGCCTAAGCACCTGGGACTAGAACAGTAAGTTCTTAATGGTAATGAAAACTTAACATTTCTTGTTGCATGATCTGAGACAGTTACTGAGCCCTGTTTACTCAGTCCTGTTCTAAGTACCAAGAGGGTGTACAGGAGACACATTTCAGTATTTTTCTTGCTTTCTGATCTCAACTATGAAATGTTAGTCCTAGAAATTTTTTAAAGGAAATTCAAGCCTACGGTGGTATTGTATTGTTGGGGTTTTGGTTCTGTCACTAGTGGTATGACCTGGGCAAATTACTTAACTTTCTTTGTCTCAGTTTCTTGAAAATTTTTTTAATAGTTTTCTTAGTCTGTAAAATGGGGAAAGTACCTTATAGTTTTATTGTAAAAAAAAAATAAATAAATAAATGAAGGGCAGGCATTGTAGTGCCAGTGGGTTAAGCCACCTCTTGAAATGCTTGCATCCCATTGCAGAGTACATGAATTCTAGTAATGGCTATTCCATGCCTCCCATCCAGTTTGCTAGTGTACCTGAGAAGGCAGCAGATGATGGCCCACGTACTTGGGTTCCTGCCACCCACTTAGGAGACCTGAATGGAGTTCCTGGCTCCTGGGTTTGGCCTGGCCTACCAGTGGCTGTTGGCAGGCATTTGGGGAGTGAACTGATAGATGCAGGATAATCTCTATCTCTCCCCCTCTGTCATTCTGCCTTTTAAATAAATAAGTATCTATTTTTTAAAAAGAATAAGTGAGTTAATATATGTAAAAGCACATAGGAACATGCCAGATACATGGTAAGTGTTATGTAAATTATAGCTGCTGAACTTTCATTCCTAGTATTTGTATATTAGGCTCCTCGGGCCCAACTGGCTGTTCTTTCTTTTCTCTGTTTAATGTAAATGGATTTCCTTGTAGCAAGTCTATAGTATGTCTAGTTTCCTTTAACAAGGCATTTCGGTAGGATCTAAATGTTAGGCGATGACGGAGGTGAAGGACATGGTCTACAAATAATCTTGTGGTTCCATTTTGATAAACACAAAATTTCCATCTAGTGCCTGTCTGATAATGCTTTCATACGAAAAAACAGATCTTGAAAGTTTTACAAAGCCAGTTATCTCCCAGTTCCAC